ATTTCAAGCATCCATTACTATCATCTTTTGTTGAATTTTGTTCACTTTTCTTCTTCTCATTTTTGCTTTATAATAACTTCACTTTAATCATTTGACAAATTTTGACTCAATTTACTGTTGAACAATTTAACCACATTAATGGTGAAACTGGTGTTTGCTAGTCAAAATGATTATTCAGCAAGAAAAAGCATCAAAACTCCAAGTGAATTTTCAATTTTTCAGGATAAATTAGTTGAAAGTACATGACAACAGTAAAGAGTCCATTTAAAATCTGGTAAACAATCAAGACTTTTCAAGAAAAGGTCAAGACCAACAATAACATTTAAGATAACATTTGATTGGTTCAATATCAACAATTTTACAACTAAACATTGTCATTATTTTTTAGCAATAAAACAATCTTAGGGACAAAAAGCCTCTAAAAGGCTGAAAAGAAACCAGAAAAACGAAAAATTGTGTAAAAATATGTGACATTTAGCTTATCATTAACTCGGACTTTTCATTTAATCAGACATTTTATATTTACTTCTCGGATTTTATTGATTTCAAGATTGCCAGTTTATACAAGTTTGTACTCAATAATTTTCTGGTAATTTTTCCGTCGCAAGTTCCGAAATAGATTGAATCTGTCGCTTAATTCACTGCCTTCAATGCTTATCCAAGAATGGCAAACCTTATTGAAAAAAGTTATCTAACACTCAATGATCGAGTTAATTTCATTTCATCTGATTGTGATTAAAAAAGTGTTTACTTTCAATATTTGGATTGAAATGCGAAACAAACAATCAAAACAAAATTTTGGTTTTTAATGTTGATTCATTTGAACCGATAACTCTTTAACATAATTTTTGGAACACTTTTCAAGTCTGAGACATTTGACTTGAGCTTAAAATTTGTGACTCTCAGCTATTGAACTGGTCAACCTCTTCATCTTCAAATGATAGCGTCAAAATAATCGGACAAGTTTAGTTATTATTAAAAATATTACTTTAATCACATTGGAAAACAAGTTTTACGAAAAGTTGAACGAAGAAAATATTGACAACAAAAATCGTGAAACATGATGAAATTAATGAAAGTTGTTCTAAACCAACCCAACGATAAGGTTATAATGTACTAATAATGCTACAAATGCTACAAATTCAACTTGTTATTAGAAGTAGAAGAAAAAAACTGAGCAAAAAGGCTTTTCTCTAAATAATAATATTGGCTAAATAAGATGAAATTTTGATATCTTGCAATGGTTATTTACTTCATTCTTCTTATCTTCATATTTTGCCTCTCTTCCTCTTTTCTCATCATCATCTAAGTACAAGCCATTATTGCCATGAAATATGATTCTTGGTGCCATGGGAAGTTCCCATGAGAATTGAATTTGTAAAACCTTTAGGCCAACCTGCAAGCTTACTTGGATTTCCTTTCCTTCCCTCATCTTTGATCCTCTCATCTTATCTGGTAAAGCAAAGGAAGAATCATGATGATCAAAGAGATGATGAAGACGATCATGATGAAGATGATTTTACCTAAAAGTTGAGGGTAAAGTTATTTACTTATTTGTCCCCCATTTTCAAGTCAAACACTGAAAGCATTCAAAATTGACTCCCAGTTGGAGTGAACAAAGTAAAATAACATTGAAACTTTTGCCGATAAAAAAGATTTCCCAAAATCTAAATATAAAGTAAAGGTGAAAAATTGACTCGATATTGGATTAAATCAAAAGGTTGAGTAAAACAGTTTAACCTGAAGGCTCAAAAAATGGGCTCATATTTTTCATTATTTGTTTATCTTTAACTTTATCCTGGGAATTGAATTTATATCTTGATATTTTTACTTTCCAAGCAAATTTGTTACAAAAGAGTTTAAACTTTAGCCTCGTTTACATCGTTTAACGCTTTGTCCATCCATGGACACTGTCACTGACTCTTTCAATTTTACATTTCATTTTACACTAACTGTGTCCTCTTGCCACGTCATTATCAATTCAAACCCTTTTTGTCTTATTTCACTTCCTTATCATGCATATTATTATTTGTTATCAAATATTGAACTCAATTCACTCCCTGAATAAATTTGAAACTTTCAACTCTTTTTTCATCATCAATTTATGCTATCTTTTTTCCCTTTCATTCACACTTTCACAACACTTTCCTTGTTTAATCTCATGAGTATTTTTTGTTTGCCATCAAAAGGATTCCAAAATGTGATAAAAATACTTTTCCATGAAAGAAAATTTAGTTTTCTCTTTCTTTTCTTTCGCATTTTCTTTCTCTTTTTTCTTCTTCCATTGAATATTGCAAAGAATAGCTTTTCGCCTTTTTCATATATATTTACTTACTCTGTTTTTGTATCAACTTTTAAACTTTAAATCAATTCAACTTTTCTTATGTTTCAAGTTTACTTTTTTGCTTCTGCTGCTGTAAACTTTATCATCAAACTCATGTTGGTTACCATTTCTGGTTCAGGTCAATTCACACTGAATTTTGTGGAGAGAGGGGAAAGAGAGAGAGAGAGCAAGAGAAAAGAGGTTCATTCCAATCACGAAAAATTCAATTGAAACAATTGAGTTTGTCTTTTAACCAAAATCTTTACACTGCGAAGGTGGAATGATTCTTTTCATTTTTCAATCACATATCATTTGATTCAATTGAGAAAACTGAGGAAGAAAAATTCAGAACAAAATCTGAATGTTTCCCAGATTACTTCAGCTGAAAACCATGGAAAGCTGCGGTGTAATTTGATGAAGATGAAGCATGAAATTTTTCATCCTCATCTAACCTAACCTAACCTAACCTAACCTATCCTAACCCAATTTCATTTTAAAATCTATCGATTAATCGATTAACTGTATCTTCACTTTAATCGATCAATCGATTTGATGTCTTAATCGATTAAAGATTTATTTTACGTATTTGATAGCTTTGAAGTTGCTTTAATGAACTTTCGTCATTTGGAGAAGCATGAAATTGTCACTTTCATCTAACCTAAGCTAATCTATCCTAACCTTATTTGATTTAAAATCGATTTTCTAATCGATTCCTTCCTTCAATCAATCTGTTGATATTATCTATTAATCATCTTCATGTATCAATATTTATCCACGACTTTGCTAACTTTTGAAATTTGCTTTCGTTATTCGATGAAGCATGAAGTCATTTCATCTTCATCTAACCTAACCTGGCCTGACCTATCCTACCTTGATTTCATTTTAAAATCGATTGTCTAATCGATTTGACTTTTTGATCGATTAATCGACTTAATGTCCAATGAATATTTTACTTTTCAATTTTAATAGCTTTCGTAATGGACCAGTCATGAAAGTTTTAAATTTTGAACTTTTTGCTTTTACTTTGCTTCTGAATATAAAAATGTTGAAATAATTCAATAGAGAGTCTTGCAATCTGGCTTCCTACGAGTTGTTGTGTTGAAAAATTCAAAGAAATGACAAAGTCAAAAAAAATAAACTCATAATGTGAAGACGAAGGAGTGAGAAAAAAAGTCAACAAAAGAAAGCTTTGATAATAAACTTTGTTAACATTTTTTGACTCTTTTTTTGTACCATCTGATATGCTTGACCTTATTCAATTATAGTTTAAATTCAAAAGTTTCCCTCGCTTTTATTCACAATTTTGTACAATTTATTATGAACCTTTTTCCATGTAAGTTAGCAAGTTGATGAAATCAGCAAGAAAGCAAAATGATTGTAACAATTGATCCTTTAAAGGTACACAAAAAGAAGCTAGTTTAACCTTTTATCATTGCAAGAATAGTGAATCATTAGATGTTATTATTATTGCTATTTTCATGATATTTATGTGTTCAACGTGAACCTTTTCTTGTTCGCCTTCTTTATACATAATAATAATGTTAACAAATGTGAAATACGTTATCACTTTCAAATGTTATTTGTCTTGTTTTTTCCTTTCCACAGCAGCTTCTTCAATTCATTTTACAGCTTCAGAATTGTAAACATTTCATGTTGCCTGTTTTTCACTCCCTGACGATAACTGTACACCTATTAATCTTATAAGCATCAAACTTTTACAAGTTTTTATCAACCATTTTCACTTGGTATTCCTTTGATTACTAGGTAAATGTTTGATCAATAACAATAATGAAAGCCTTTTATTCAACTAAATACATTCATAGAAAAAAATTATTCATTTGTAGCTTCAAATTCAAACGCATTCAAAGTAAATTCAAAAATCAACTTTTCTCATCAACAATAGCGATTAGACAACAAACCAAAGTCAACCAAATGGTTCATTAGCCTTAATCATAGCAATATTTCGCATCAAAGTCTAAAGATTAAGACTCGAAGAGCAAAAGACAAGACTTGGAACAGCGAATTTAAACAAAATGTCGATTCTATCGATCGATCTTTAGTGAACGCGATCAAACAGATCGACCTTGCAAATAAGTTGGTCTGGCAATGTGAGCAACTTGAGTCTTCAAGTAAACTTTAGTCTTGTCCTTGTGTTGTTTGGGCCTTTTGCAGATTCAAATGTTGAACTTGAAACGAATTAAATTTGACCATTTTAGTGATTGAAATTATTTGATTGAGCATGTTGAGTCAACAGCTGTTTCTGGTTCATTGAGCTTTACCTTGTCATCTTAACATTTGCTATTTTTTCAGCAAACATTCAACTTGAAGATGCTCCAGGTTTGGCTCAATATTAGATTTGAAAGTGTGAAGGTAACATGAGAAATGAAACAATTAAATTGCATTCAATATTGAATTTAATGAAAAGTACAAGACTAGATTATTGAATTGTGTAAGAAAAATTTAATTTGTTTTATTGATGATATTGTAAATATTTCCCTGCTGCAAAGTTATTAATAAAAGGTATTGCAAAAGAAACTGTAATTTATTCATTTGAATTTGATCATTTGATGAGACTTTTTTTGCTTTCCATTTTCCTGTGAATTTCAATTTGAAAATGATGATCATATTTTGATATTAATTTTTATTAATTTTTTTCTCCTTCTACTTCTGTCAACAGATTGTTTGGTTGCAAGAGTCACAGCAAATGAAATCAATTGCTTCCAATAATTAGCTCATCAGTTTTTCAATGTTGCCGTTGAACAATTTCATCCAAAAGCTTTAATTTGCTCTGGAAACGATTGCAAGTAAATCAATGGAAACAAAAATGAAGTGAAAAATCAATTGAGAAGCAAATTTTTTCCCAATAAATTTACCTTCTTCTACTCATTGCCACTGTTAATGGGAATGCCAAATTCAAATAGTAATCTCAATCATTGGGATAAACTAATTATCAAACATGAAGACAAATCACCATTGCACTTGGATATCAGGTAAGCTGACCTTTTATTCAAAAATTTTCATCTTCTTCTTCATTTGACTAAACATTTGAGTGAACACTGTTGGCAACTTTTGGTAATCATTTGGGTGACCAAAATTTTAGGTAAAATTGATGACAAAATGTTATTCTTCACCCTCTTAATCAATCAATTTCATCTGGTGAAGGTTATCGTGAGGAAGGAAAGGAAAGGTCAAGGGTGAGCAAGTATTGTTACCATGCATGGGTCAAGATGAAATGTTTCAATTAATAGCCTCACAAAGGAAATGGTTCAACATTCAATTTTTTGCATTCAACTTGACTTGAATGATTGAGAGTATCAAGTGACGAGTAACAATCAAATGATGGCTTCAGCTTGTAAACCAAGTAACGCTGTCACACTTCACCCAATGAACCCAATGATTCCAGTTAATTTGCTAGGCAAATGTTACCTACCAAACGAGTGTATTGCTCTTGAAGTTGCATGAAACATTGAGTCTGAACATTTCAGGTGAAGGATCAACTCTCATCAAAATAACAATCATTTTAATTGGTCAAGTTTTACCTTTTCTTGTCTCTTCAACAAGCAAATAAGCCAAAGACCAATCTGGTAACTCAGTTTAACTTATCTGACTCGAAGCTTAATTACAAGTTAAACCTATTCAATAGCCAAGATTAACCCTGAATTTGGATTAAATTTGTAGCTCAACTTAGATATTTCAAGTGAAGCTGACTGAATACAAATCATCTTACAATCGCTTTGATCATGACCAAGTTGCCTGTTTTGGGATTAAACAGTTTTTGCTGGTTGATCTTGATTCAAGCTGAAAATTATTATTCAGCTTTGATCGATGCTTGAACTTGTGATGCTCAGTGATCGTTAACCTGATTAAGTTGCAAATTTAGGATAATCAAATGACTATTTGATCAAATTGCGAGGAGAACAAAATTTCTGTAATTTCTTTAATTGTAATTTGTGTGTTAACATTGTTAATCTGTTTGTGCTGCCAGCTAAGAATGTTTTTTACTCTGTTTTTGATGATTGACAATTTAGCATAAATTGTAAACCTTTACTTTGTTTTAAAACATTTTGTTTTATATTACCTTTTATCATGTTAATCTAATGTAAATTGAGTTTCATCTAAAGTACAGAATTGAAGGAAAAGACGAAATCATTAAACAAATGAAAGGCGTTTTTTGTCATTAAGATATTGTTTCACTTAATAATAAATTTACATTCCCTGTTGACTATCAAAAAACTGAATAAAGATTATTGATTGTTTACCATGTAAACTCATTTTTGTTGCTGAAAATTGAAACAAAAGAGTTAATCGTTAGTTAGTGTGAACATTCATTTGTCTTTGAAAAAACAACAACCAAGAAAAAGGTGATTCTTTTGTTCATTTTGTTTCCAATCAATCAAAATAATCAACTTTTTTCCTTAATTTTCTCAACTAATTTCAATTGCGAGCAATTTAATTAAGTCAGCTCTTGATTTCAGCTTCTAATCTGCCTGTGTTTACACAAAATTAATGATACATTGATAAAGTACTTCATTTGAATGGCATTTCCCTCTTCAACTGAACAACAAATGAAACATAGACTTAATCAGTGTTATACAATTAGTTGAACCAGCAGCCAATTAATCGCTCCAATAACCATTAAAACGAATATAAAAATGAACAGAAAAAAATTAATTTAAAAAAACTAAACACCGAATTGAATAAATCAAAACATTCAATTCAACTCAACCTTTTAGTTTCAACTGCAACTCCAGAGTTTAATTGATTTAATCAATGAATCGTTTATTCATTTCAAAATCATCTTCAGTTACAATCAATAATGAAAGATAATGGTTTTCATTTTAAACATTGATTTCGAGGTAAAACAAGATTTGCTCCTTTGATGGTCCTTTCTGTTGTTTAGAGGTCACAAAGGTGACTGAAGACAAATTTCATTTTCTTGTCATTTAAGGTGAGTTTAGGTTCATCTTTTGTTACATGATCAGGATTGTAATCAGATGAAGTTGAAATTCACTAGAAGGCGCTAGGTTTAATGTTGATAATTATCCAACTTTTTATGTTTAGCTGTTTCAAATTTAGCTCAAGCTTTGGGGCTTAAATGAGTAGCTAAAAAATTACAGAGGTTGAAACAAAAAAATGGAGTCTCTAGCAAAGACAACCTTTGAAAGGTTATCCAAGCCAGGAAATTATTTAGTCAATTAAACAGTCAGTTGATGATGAGTTAGACTTCATCTTTATCCTCTACTTTTTGGCTCCACCATTTACCAACTTGATCTTCATCTTCATCATTATCATCTTTTTCATACTCGACACCAGTAAATCATCACAACCTTACATCCACTTTATTGTTAATATAACATTGTTAATGTTCATCTCGAGTTTGAGTTTTGTATTTTCAGTGTTTTTGTTTTTTCCATCAACTCAACATCCAGTGCAATACTGTGTAGCGACTCAATTTTTAAATTGTCTCGTCTTCTCAATGTTACACTCTTGCTCTTGTGCATTAAACTTCACCAGTTAACAGCAATTTAGATGAAAATTTTGATCCTTTTTTCATTCGAATTGATAAAGTGTGTTTTCATCGAATGTTTAAATTAATATCAGGAAGAAGAAGAAGGGAAAAATTTAATCCAATCCATTCCAAGAAAAGTTAACATTCCTTGAATTCACCTTTTTTTGCCTTTTTTTCTTGCTTCTTCGTCTTCTTTTCACTGTAGGATTCAGTGTTATCCAAGTCATCCTCAATTCATGATGAAAAACGACAGGTTATTAACAATTAAACCGTTAAAACCTTTATACAACCTTTTGTTAATACTATTGTTATGCAGTTTACACTGTTTACCTGTGCAATCTAGTCAAACAGGGAGTAATAAAAAACACAACCTTGTTACCATTGGAATCAACACTGACCTCAACAATATAAACGACATTTCACGAGAACAATATGACAACAGATTATTTTCAATATCATCCGCATCACCTTCATACACATCATCATTATCATCCTCTGTACCATCATCATCACCATCGTTTTCATCATTTTCTTCCTCTTCCTCTTCATCGAGACCATCATCGTTTTCATCAGCATCATTAACCTCTTCATTGCTTGTATCATCCGCAGTGGAAACAGCAGATGTCTCATCATCCTCAGCCGAAGCACCAGATTCACCTTCCTCTAAACCCTCTTCAACAGTTTATTTACACACCAATCGAACCTCATCAGTTCATCGATTAGCATGTAAAGATGGACTGGTTCTTCCAGCCTGGCGTCCAATGGAAAACCTGTCCACCGGTGATGTAATTGTTCGCGGTTTAGTCTATTTTTTCTGCCTTGTCTACCTGTTTGTAGGTGTCTCTATAGTTGCCGATAAATTTATGGCTGCCATTGAGGTGATTACCTCACAAGAACGCGATGTGCGCATTAAAAAAGCAAACGGCGAGTATCAGGTCATCTCGGTTCGCATTTGGAATGAAACAGTTTCCAATTTAACCCTTATGGCTTTAGGATCAAGTGCACCTGAAATTTTACTCAGCATCATTGAAGTGTATGCACAAAACTACGAGGCTGGTGATCTTGGTCCTGGAACCATTGTCGGTTCTGCGGCATTCAACATGTTTGTCATTATCGCCGTTTGTGTTTGGGTTGTTCCAACCGGTGAGGTTAAAAAGATTAAACATTTGAGAGTTTTTTTCGTTACAATGGTTTGGTCCGTTTTCGCCTACATCTGGCTGTTTATTATACTTTCCGTCATTTCACCGGGCATTGTTGACCTTTGGGAAGCCTTTTTAACCTTTGCCTTTTTCCCGGCTACCGTGCTGACCGCTTGGATTGCCGATCGTCGTCTTCTTATTTACAAATATTTGTCCAAAAATTATCGCATGAATAAGCGTGGAGTCATTGTTCAAGGTGAAGGTGATGCTGAAGATGTTGAGTTGGGTGATAAGATATTGTCTAATCATGTTGACCTTTCTGGAGATGCAGCAAGTCAGTCGACTCATTTAACATCAGGTGTTCACTCTCATGGAATGTTTAGAGTGTTTGATGATGATGAAGATATTAATGAGGAGACGAAAGAGTTTGAGGAACATCGACGTGAGTTTATTTCAATTCTTCGTGAACTTCGCAAGAAACATCCGGATGCACAAATGGAGGATATTGAACACATGGCCAGAGAAGAGATCATCAATCGTGGGCCTAAAAGTCGAGCATTTTATCGTCTCCAGGTGAGTGCCATTAAAACATACTTAACTTTTAGCTAAAAAGTAGAAGAAAAAGAAACAAATCAAAATCAATGACCATTGAACATTAACGTATTTTCACCTTGTGTTAAATCATCTCGAAAAAAAGTATGAATTATTTATCTCTAAATCGTATTTCTCACCATAAATCATTCATTGAATTTGTTATCATCAATAAATCAAATTAGAGTGTTTAAAACTTGTTAAGAGGTGGTAAAAAGAGAGATATGATTGAGTACCAATAATCATTTCTCTTGTTCAAATAATAATAATCATCATCATCATCTGTTTAGCCTGAAGCAGCAAGAAAATTCTTCCACTTCTGAAATTAACTTCTCGTCTTCTTCTCATGTCAAATTGTTCGCACAATTCGCAGGATTGACAGGGTCAAGAGTAACCGGAAATTTAGCTTAAATAAATATCAATTTATGATGAATAAATTTTGAGTTCAACTTTTGGTAACATCAAATGATATGATAATAAAATGTTGGAATGGGTCAAAAAGTGGAAACAAAAGATTTTTCATTTTTCTTTCCAACATATCCATGCATTAATACTGTGTAGTATAATATCTTTAGCTTTCAGAATCAATTCATGATGCTGCAATATCACATTTTTAAGGTCCATTTTGATTAATAACTTTTCCTTGTTCACCTTATATTGAACGTCTTGGATTTAGGGTAGAAAAAAGAGTTTCACTTTGAAAAATCTCTACATCAGAATAAGATTGATGTTAATTTTGTTTAATAATAAAAGAAAAGCTTTTATTATGCTACAGAACTTCTTAAACATTTGATATTAGATATTATACTATTTTGATAAAGTAGATGTCATCAATGTCATCATTTTGTTTCACTCAACTGAATTGTACTGAAATATGATTTTGTGAATGACCTAGATAAGCGTTTTTTTTCTTGTTGCTTTCAACTAACAGAAGGAGGGGAAAAATGAAAATTTGTTGACACTTCCGAAGATGTAAGCAAATAAAATGAATGAAAATGAATATATCATGAAGAGACTAACTATAGTTATTGGGTAAAATTTAAAAACATTAAATGTAGTGAAGAAACAGTGAAACTTTTTGTACTCACCAAGCATTCATTGCTGATTATACTTGACACGTTAAGTATTAATCCAAATTTGCTTGTAATTAAACTCAAGATGATAAAATTAAGACTTGCGTTGCCAAATGAATTGAATCCAAGGTGGAAATGGTTCAAGATCAAGCAACAATTTAGACATGAGCCCATTTCAAGGGTTCAAACCACCAAAAGTGTTCAAGTGTCACATTGAGAAAATTGTTGAAAGACTGTCTGAAAATGTATCTTTTTCATGCCATCCTTCATTATTCACATTAGCTTTCATCAGATAATCAATGCTTGGAATAGAGCTTCCGTTGGATGAGTTGAGACCCCACGAGTCTTCAGATTCCGTTAGTTCCATAATTTTAGGTAAACACTGAAAAGAAAAAGAAAATTATTTTATATTTGTTCATTAGTTTCAACCTTGTTCTTCTTAATTCTGCTTGATTAACAGCAAAATAAGCACATTTTTTCAACTTACTACTGTAAATTCAATTTCGTTGCTTTTTGCCAATCAAAAAGCTTCTCTTCTCATGGTAATTGGTGATTCGTTTCAATTGTTGACACTTTTTTTCTTCTTTAAAACTTCAATTTAATATTTCATGCATTTGCATTATTATTATCATTATTATTGTTATTGCTATTATCATTATTCAAATTCCTACTCAGTGAAGATTCTTCTTATTCTAACTTTGCCAATGTATTTTTATCTTCATTACCATCATCAGCCGTACATGCTTTTAAAAATAGAATTAAATGTTCCATTCAAATTGAACTTCTTTTTTATTCACTTTCATCTTTTCACTTTCCTCTTAAACTATTCCTATCATTTATTTTTCAAATCACAATCTTCATCATCTTCTTTTCTCGTTTTCTTCTTCACCGTGGAATTAATCATTCATTGTCAATATTATCAATACTTTGAATCAAGTTAACTCAGTCAACAATAATGTCGATTCAAATAACATCCAATGTTACTCTTTCAATATTGTTATTTACTTGAAAAATGTTTAAAAGTTGCACAGAATATAAAATTGAAAAAAAACGAAAATCAAAGGCAGAATCCATCAATTGAATCTATCAATCACTTTGAAGCACATAAACATTAGCAGCTAAGAATCAAGGAATGTTTATCAATGTCTCAAGATTGACTTTTCAAGAGTTGGAGGAAACTATTGATTCAATTCAAAGCATGTTTACCATTTCAATCATGTAATTATACACCAAATTAATTCAAAGTTAAAAATTAAGTGAATCACAAAAAGTAAGCCCATGGAATCACAATGAGATGAAGAACCATTAGCAGATTAATAATCCATTGTCAATAAAGATTAACTGGTTAGATCACGTTGACTGTGAAATTAACTGAGCAAACAACTGATTAATAATGGATTGAAGACAGTTTCGTAGAGAAATAGTTACTATTTAACAATAATAAATTGTCAACATTAAGACAAAAAAACGGTCCAAAAATTGAATCTTTAACAGACAAAATAAAGCAACTGAAAAATGTGATAAGAAAAGTCTGATTTTAAGTATCCAAGGTAACCTATTGTCAACTCTTACTTAACTCTTATCATAAACCCATTAGGAATTTAAGGTTATAAAAGAAAGAGAATAAGAAAGATAGAAAGAAAGAGATTTAAAACAGAAGACTTTTCTCTTTCTAATTTTGTAGCTTTTATTTTAACCCAAAAGTGTCTGATTAGGAATGCATTACAGTTTTTGAATGTAGTCTTTACATGGTTATGATCATGGAAATGTGAAAATTAGATTGCCTTTATTTTCATTTATCCCTGAAGCAAATTTCCATTGAATTTAACTATTGAGGACAATCAGTTTTGTAATATTAATTTGACAATAACCAATTTTAGGTTTGATTGTGAAATGTGACTTTACCTTAACCTTTGTGCCTCTTCATTTACTGACTAATTGTTGATGCAGTGAAACCTTAATACACTCAGATTGTTCAGTTGGATCCAAAGAGTTACTCTTTGGTTGGATCACATTTTTTAGTTGCTTCAACTGTTCATTTTCATCTTTATTTGATCCCGTTAATCGTATGATTAAGTCTAGCATGGAAACCAACAAAATTTTTATACCTTCATTTTTATTCCTCTTCTCATGTAAGTTATTTCTTAGTCTTGATTTATATGTTTCAACTCATCTATTAATCAATCCTTTCTTCACTTTGAATAACCATTTAAACAGCCTGATCATCTCTCTGAGAATCCGGTAAATTTAAAATGAACAAATCAAATTCATTTCAACATTCATTTCAATGCAACATTTTACCTTAAAAATAAAATAACTCAACTATTTTTGTTATCGGTTTCGCAAATTAAACAATTTCCCCTGATTTCCTTCCATTGCTAATTAATTAAGAGAGGGTTGATTAAAATCTATAAACGAGTTAACATTCAGTTAATCAAATTAGATTAATGATTTAAACTTTGATTGAATATTTGAAAATGAATCTGATCATTTTACTCTTTTACAACCTTTGCTGGATCTTTCCTTTGACCTTTTTATATCTCATTGATTTCAATAATTTATTTGGTCCAGTTGAACATTGAAATGTAATCAGTTAATAGTAACTTAATTAAAACCATTTATTAATCCTGCCATTTTATTTATTATGTATCATTGTCAAAATGAAAGATATAATTACGTTCTTTAACCTTTTTGTTCTCATCTAATAATGATTCTTCTTCTTGATTCTAATTCAATTGAATACTTTTTCTTGTTCAGTTATTGATTAGTTTTTTTTCCTTATCGCTATTATTATCATTATTATTTAATTTTTGTATTCTTAATTGGTAACAATTGTATCTTTATATCATTTTCAATTGAATCAATGTCAATGCCAATTTTTCTTGGTTGGTACCAAGATTGTTTAGATGAAATTTAATGAAAAGAACCAGCATGGGAAAGAATCAAGATTTACTGCTTATTTCATTGTTATCTGTATCATTATTATCATCATTTTTTTATATTATTTTCAGATGTTAGCAGATGAGTTGATACTGAAATTCAGATTATCAAAACAAACTCATTACTATTATTTTCCTGTCCTCAGTCCCAATCGATATAATGTGAAAATGTGAATTTTAATTAAATTGTTTAACATCAGGAAAAACTAGTGAAGATTGGCTGAACAAGATTGCATATTGATAATGATATGGCTAAGAAATGTCCTAATATCATTATGAATCTGACTGTGAGTGAAAAACTGAATAACACGGCATGAGAAGAGGAAAAACATGGTTTCCAGAAATAGACTGATCTCTGTGTTCAAATAACCTATTTTATTTCCTTTGGAATAGTGTCAAATTTACTTGGACAGAAAGTGTTGCCAAAAATGTTCATCTACAATTGTGGCCCATTCTTAACATTAACTTACATTTACAGCTTTACTCTTGCTCTTCCCTTCATCTTTTTATCTATGAAATTTGTTTGAAACCAGATTTTGTGATAAATTTTAGTTTCCTCTCTTCCGATCATCACTATCATCACCAAGATCAACAATAACAATAGCATAAACTGGATAATCATTTTGTTCATCTTTACAGTTATCGTCAACTATCAGTTTCTAGGTTTTCACATTTAATAGCATTCTGTTTCTTCCCTTTACCTTTCAACATATATATCTTTGTATTAAATAGATGTTGAAAGGTAAAGGGAAGAAACAGAAACTTCATTATCTTATTATCTTTATACATTTGCTTGTTTGTTTTGTTAAATTGTTGCCGATGTAATCATTTTCGTCGCAAGATGATACATACATGCATTTAATATTATGTACAAACATTGTCAACGATTTACAATGTTTAGTATTGTTGTTGTCCTCATTGTTGTCATTAAATGTAATTGTAAAAAGTCTCGTTAACCAAATGAATAATCATAGCTCTTTCAATGGTTCCAATTTGCTAGTATATTTGCCCTTAAATCTCAACATGAACAATAATTAAGCTGGATTAACGAGATAATTGTATCAACAATTGTAGAAAAATATAAGGATTAAATGATCCCATTTAGCTACAATTTTTGGATTAATTTTGAATCATTATAATTCAAGCTCAGGGAAGAGGAAAAAAAGCAACAACAATCATAAGGATAATCATTCAAAGTTGTCAAAATGCACAAAAAATATATCCATTATCATCAAATGTGAACATTTCAGCAAAAGTTAGAATCAAAATGATCATTATTCAATTGAGATTGCAGTTTTTCTGGTGAAAGTCCAAGTAAATCTGTAATCCAGCATATTCTCAGTTGTGTAATATACGAACAAGTTCATTAGATTTGGGTTGAATGATAAAGGTGAACATAGTTTATGATTTCAATGGCATTGTGAACAGTCTATACGAAATCCTTTGTCTTCCAGAGTGAATATAAATTTGGATGATTGATTGTTGATGGACAATTTTATTCATCTTTCTTTCTTTCCTTTAATTTTTCAAATGGATCGTCAAATTTGATGAACTTGTCAACATTGAAGGCAACCAAAAAATTAACTGGAGGATCGGCCATGGTTAAAAGGAGGGTGGAAAAGGTCGAGGATAAGAAAGATGGAACTCAAAAGAAGTTGGAAAGTGTAATCAAAGTTTTTTTTGATCCTGCTCATTATACGGTAATGGAAAATGTTGGACAATTTGCTGTAACAGTTGCCCGTGAAGGTGATTTATCCAAATCGATTGCAGTTGATTTTGCCACTGAAGATGGTACAGCTAATGCTGGCTCTGATTATATTGGAGTCAATGAAACCATCGTTTTCCAGCCAAACGAAACTTCCAAACAGGTAAATCACCTGGATTTTTGTTGAAGAGAAAAAATAAATAAATTATTTTAGTATCTTTTCTTCGCTCTTATAGTTTAGTCAATAGTTTTACTTTGAAACACGCAAAATGGAAATTAATTGACAATTAAACAAACAACCTCGACTTGGGAAATATTTACATTTCAACAATTTAACAGTGATCATTAAAGATATTACAGATCCAATTCAATTATCCCTATCACCAACAGTTAATTTATTTCATGGCATTTACTCCTTGCCTCTTTGCGTATTATTAATAAATGAGATTGCAAAGCAATTTATTAAAACTGCTACTTCTGCCTGGTTAAGTGTTGAAATAACCAATTCAGATTTCTCATTACCAATTGACTATGACAAATAAAAAGATGATTAATAAGTATTTTACTCGCAATTTAGTGATAGTTTAAATTGAAATTTTTCTGAGTAGATAATTAAATTGTTCAAAGTAAATAAAGATGACGGATCTCAATTCATTTTGTAAATAAGGAACGTAAAAGTATATACAAAAGTGTATATTATTAGAAACAGGAGTAAACAGAAAAGGATTCTTCATGTTTAAACTAAACTTGTTTCATTTGTAACATTATTTAATTAGAATTTTTTGGTTACCTTTCTCTATGAAAAAAATTCAATTAAATTATTAATTGATTTATATATCTTTTGTCGTGCAACAGGTGATGATAAGTGTCATAGATGATGATGTTTTTGAAGAAGATGAACATTTTTACTGCCGCCTGAGTAATCCTCGATATCTCAACATTGATAATGGAGGCCTGGTCAACATTGGTAAAGACTGGCCTAAATTACAGTTGGGGACACCTCCGACTGCCACAGTGATGATTCTCGATGATGACCATTCAGGTGTTTTTGCATTCAAAGAAGCGTCAATCGAAATACCAGAATCAGTTGGACCCTATCTTCTCCAGGTTAGTCGAGTTAGTGGTGCAAGAGGACAAGTTATACTTCCATATAAAACAATTGAAGGTTCAGCTAAAGGAGAAAGAGATTTCATAATGAAAGAAGGTGAATTAATTTTTGAAAATAATGAAACATGGTAAGTTTAATCAATTTTTACCACTTTACCACTTTTGTACTCAACCGATTGAGTTTGTTTCCATTTCTGAGTCCTTGATTCAATCCTATTCCCGGGCTTTCAATCAATTCAGGTAATAATGATGTTATTACATTATGAAAGGACACTTTAATCAATAGATTCAATACAAAGATCTTTCCATACAAAGATCTTAAAATAAGCTGCCAAGTCATAATCAACCAATCAAGAAATCCACTGTTATACAGAACAACTCCTTCAATTAAATGTTGAAGATTTATGTTTACGATAAAAAGCTAAACTTACTGAGGTAATTAACAAAACGAACACAATTAATTAACTAAAATTTTGCACAAAAATTATAAGTTAACGAACCTTTTCTTAAAAAAACTGTAAAATGAATCACATGGTGCAAAAAGAGAGGGAAAGTGTTAGTGACGTAATTGGAGTGTAATTTGCGCGATCTTCAAAATTAAAAATTGCAATTTAAACTGATTGTAGAGGAAATGAGTCTAATTATCAATAAACACTAATCAAATTCAGAATGATATCAAATTATTTTTAACCTTTCAAATAGTCAACAAAATGATAATTATTTTCACTGCAAAAAAACAGAGTTCAACCATTCAGGGTCTTTTGATGGTAGATAAATCTTGAGAATTGTAACTTTTCTTCTGTAATTATTAATCAATTTGATAAATTGTGATTAGCTTTCCATTTTGTTGCCTTATTTCTGCCTTTCTTCATAATAACTTTTCCAATAATTCAGTCAAGCTAACAACAAACTAACTTTCATCAACTCCAATCCTCATTCATAAATAATAAACCCTCCAATTCCTAAATACTTTGTTCCTGTTCAATATTCTGCTGCTCAAAATCCATACCTTAATCCAATATTTATCTCTTTTGAATATCCAACATTTGCTGACCAAACACACGCATTTCCATCTAATGTTGTAATTTAATCTTATATTCATCTGCCGATTGATACTATTAATATCATCACATTATTTGAAACCCTTCAGACAAACCATTGACTACACATGTTTGCCGTCATGAAAAGTACAAAAAAATATCACATTTCAACGCTCAGTTGAACACATTGAAACAATAATAGATCCTTTATGGCCAATTAATAACACCAATTTCCCGGTAAATACACCAATCAATAGTAATAAAAACAATTTATGACGTAAAAACGAGAAAACAAAATGAAAAGTCGATATTGAAAAGCAAATTTTATAATGAAAATGCAACAAAAGGTTAACAGCTGATGTCTTGCCTTGAAGCGCCCTTTTCAACCATTAAAGAGTCACACTGTGAGATATACAAATTAGTTGGAACCCTTAATTGTCTCAATCATGTGAATTGTTTTCAGCTTTTATTATCAACTTGATTGTCAAATGTGAAACCCAATAAAGGCTGTTTATTCAATGACAATAACTTTGAGCTTTGTCTTCAACCCAAATAGCTTTAGGTTATTATAACTTACACTGTACAACTTTTACCATTCATTCAGTAATATAATGAAGATGATGGTAAAGATGATAATGACAAAGACCATGATGATCATGATAAAGTAGGTCCTAGAAATCAAATTATCAAAGAGATGGACAAAGTTAGTTAAATGTGTTGACAGGTAAAGAGGAGACTAAATTTATCTCACAAGTGTTGATGAGACTGTAAACAGTGCAAAAATAAGCTTTTGTTTTCACCAATTTCATTGTTCACCTTTTGATGGATTAACCCTTAGGTCTTGATTGAACATTAAATCGTCTGAAAAGTTGGTAACAAAAACAAAATAAGAAACTCAATGAAATGAAATACAAAAATATTTACCCTTGAATCAGGTTCAACCCAACAGAAGCACTTAAAGTGTTTGATCCCGACGGCTGTCACACTAGTCTTGATGGTTCATATTCAAGATGATCATGAACATGAAGATGATCAAGATTAAAATGAGAGGAGAAATATGAAAAGGATTGAAAACAAAAGCAGTTCACTGTAATGAAGTGAAAACCCAAATACATGGTAACCTGCCAAGCTTGCTCTTTACGCTCAGTTGAACATTCATTTCTGTCTCAGTTTTTTTCACCTTCACCATTATCTTCATGATGATCATGAAATATACTGTTATCTATTCAATGAAATGATCACCAAGCTTCACCAAATCCAAATTTTGATCACAACAATTTTCAAGCTTCTTTTTTGCATTTCTTTTTCTTTGCAACTCAGTTTTTTTCACAACAGATTCTGTCACTTTTATCATTGTTATTCAGAGAATGCTCATTGAAAGTGAAATAAATTTTCATGAAGATAAATCAGCCAAAATAACTGGCAAAACATGAAACAAATTGAAATAACAAACGGAGTTGAACAAAAAAGGTTGTAAGGTTTGCGTTTTACATGAGGAAAGCTTTACTTGAATCCAGAAAACCTTATTTTGTTGTTATCAAACAACCAAATCTTGAGTCAATAGATTGAGTCTGAATATTTTTACAATTTATTAAACAGTCAAACAAACAATTAACTTGCAACTCATTATAATCAACCTTGCGAGTTGTTTTTTAATGTTGATTATTGAGTTAGACATTATTTACCTTAACGAGGAGAAATTGGAAAAATTTAAATTTTCTTTCCTTCAATTTGAATTAGGGATGAAAAAATATGTTACATGATTATTTGTTCATGAAAGAATCAATTCTGATTCATATCAATAATAACTCCTAATACATGTAAGTTGATGAGGAACAAAAAGTGGAAAAAAACATTCATACAATTCTTTGGACCGTGAAGCTGAATTCATAAGTAGATGTACATATTGTCGGATATTATTCATATTCCTGATAAGATTCTTCTAAATTTTCATCGTATAAATATTATCATGTAATGGTGAAAAGAGGTAGATGATGAAGTTTTCTGGTTACTACTTGGCATGGAAATGAAAAGCAAAAAAAAGGTTGACTTTGGTTTTTCCTTTGCGATCGCAATTTGGTAGCTTCTTTCAAATTTTAAAGTTTCCAACTTTTGCTTCAAGTATTTTGCCTGAATATTCAATTGGGTATTTGATATGGAAACATTAACCACCATTCAACTGATTACTGGTACAATCACTGGTATCGTCTTTCCTCCTCTGCTTTGGGCTGTATTCAGGTTAATCAGCAAGCTCACTGGAATCCTAATGAATATGGATTTGTGAATGAAAATTGGATATTTAAATTGTTAATCAAATTGGTGATATTTGGAGTCGACAAAAAATGTTATTATCATTAATCACTTTCCATTGAATAGCTTTTGCCTGTTTTTCACTAAACGAGATTAAAGATGATTTTCTTGGTTCCTCTTTTTTCGCCTTCACTTTTTTTGGGTCTCTTGTTTCTTCCTCCTTGCAGTGCATTAAAGTGTGTCTGTGTGTTTCAGCCTTCAGGTTCAAGATAAATAATATAAATGGTCACCACTGAGTTCTGACCGGATGGTGAGATGAAAGTAAAATGTTTCCATGATTGTTTGTTTGTTTGATGCTTTTTTGCCATCCTATTTTTTTGCCTGTAACGAAGACGAAAAAGGTTGAAGTGATAAGAGTGTATGGAACTGAGTAGATTGGAATGTTAAAAGGTCTAAGGATGGAAACGAGGATAAAACAAAATGAATGAATAAAAATGAGGGGAAAGAAGGGAAAAGAGAAGATGAAAGAATGTTAATGTTATTTTCATTGCATGGCTCATTATCCAGAATCATCAGATTGGCAAATAGTAAAGCTAGACTATGGCTACTGGCTTACGTAAGTTGTGAGTAAGTAAAGATGGATAATCGTTTGGAATAGAAACAGAAGGGAAAGAGAAGAGAAAGGGAAGAAAAGAAGAGAGAATAAAGAACAAATAGTAAAAATCTGAAGAATTGAAATGAAGGAAAATCAACGAAACGTTAAACAATCACATCAGAACATTAAATATTAGACTGAAGACCATTCCAAATTGAGTTGACCATTCTTAAGGTAACGTCATTATGGGAATGAATATTGCATTGGTACTGGCCATTGATGGTAAATAAATGGTCGTTTTATTTCCATGAGCAGCGATGTTTTCCTTTTCGATCAACTTTCCAAATAGAAGAAGATTAAAGGTAACAGAAGATAATCAATATACTAACCATTAAATGAATCCAATTGTTGGAGTCTAAAAAGACGTTTGGAAGACTCAATCTTATGGATAAATGTTAGCTCAACTCATTCTTGTTAAAGATTCATGCATTAACAGCTCACAAGTTGAAAATTAAAGGTAAAACTTGACTGAACAGTGTGATGATTATGATTAAAGAACTTTCAATGTGATTATTGATAATCTTAAATTTGATTTCTTTTCATAAAGTCAGACGAGATGAAAATGAGGTCAACACTTTTCAAAAAATCACATTTAACGGTTTAATCCTGTTGAGTTGATGATCTTTCTAGAAGATACTTGACACTAATGGACACAAAAATTGAATATAAAAGTTCAAACTATTCAAGATTTTTTGGCAATCCAAGTAATCGTTTATAACATTGTAAGACAAATATTTTTGGTTAAAAAAGTCTACATTTTACAATAATAGTTGAGTTTCAATTTCAAATCATTTACAGCATTACGTTGACTTATGACTTTTGACTTTTGAATGCTGCCATCTAGGTGAACTAAAACAACAAAAAAATTGAGGGGTAAAAGGGTCAGACGATTCAAGTCTCAATTAAGAAGATCAAGTGTCAATATAACATGTAACATGTATCATTGACTGAAAAAATTGATATTATAACTGAGTGTTCCTTAAGTCAATCTGAAGTTGGAAAGCTTAAAACCATGAAATGTCTCAACAAGCTGAAATTCAAGCTTAATTGTCACTTCTAGTTGATTTCTTGAGCTTTTTCATTGATATTTTACGAAAGGAAATCGAAATGAAATTGACTTAAATCAAAATTAGATTTAACTTCTGTTTAATTAGCCATTGTTGAAATAATGAGTGTATTATCTCAATGGTGACTGTAGTATTTTAATTTGTATTTTTTCTCATTTTGGTTCTTTTTTTTGTTTCTTGTGTAAGCATTTTCAATATTCAACAGCTTCACTTACCTCGATTAGTTTGCAATACAAATGAGATTTATTGATGAAATTATTATGGTTCAATGCTTATCAAAATGAACTTGTATCTTTAAAAGAGAAAAATTTATTGATTGAAATTGAAATTCAATAAAACCTGATGAAAATCATGGAATGAAAAATTAATTTTTTATCATCTTGTACCGTTTAATGCCATCTATGCTTCAACTTTCTAATCACAACAGAAGCTCAGTTTTTACCGTTTAAAATGTCTGAACGTAACTTGAACATGGTTAAATTATCGAGTACAAAATTAATGGAATTAAATTAATCTGCACACTTTTCAATTGAATTGTATTGTTAGATAAATTAGCTACTAATCTGTTCGATTAGTTTTTATAATTGAAACAAACTGGTAATAGATTTGAAAATGTTTAATGACAATGTCAATCCACTGCAATTAATACTTTACATCTCTTGCAATTCACAATTCACATTAAATCCAAACTGATTACCTCGTTAATTATCTCTATAATCTGAATAATCTAACTTTTTTATTTTCCCTCCTTATATTCTGTGTGTGTTTACTCCTCCTTTTCCTCATCATCATGATAATATCCAATTAGAAACAATAATCTTGCTGAATTTTTTTGACTCCATCTCTTTTTGTGTCCAAATCCATCATTGATTATGAGATCAGTCAAGCCTCAGCTTAAAATGGCCATTTGTCAACATTGTGGACCAATGATTACAATGCATAATCAAATTATCATTAACAATTGCAATAGATTGTTAATGTGCACCAACAAAAACTTGATGAATCTTTTTGTTGATAATATTGCTCGTTTTCCTCTTGAGATGTTTGCAGTTCTTACTTGCTGGTTAATGACATTATAATCTCGTGTTAATTGTCATTATTTAATTCCACAGAATAGGATTAACTCCATTGGATTACAGTTATGTAGCAATATATCCATTAAACTTTGATTAACTTGGGTTATGTCAATGTTTCCAACTCGTCTTCTTTAACGCCTAACAGGAATATGTATTTCATTGTCAATTTTGCCTCTCATCCATCAGACACTAAATCATTTCATCTAATAATCCATCAAACTGAAACATCAAAAAGTGTTTTCATTTTCATGGTAACACACTTTTTTGTTGCTGTTTAATGCTAAATTTTAATCAAACAACAAACCAATTTGATAAGAAATGTCTTAATAAATGATTAATAATAAAATATCAATCAATTTGATGACGGGGAAAGTGTTTTCTGACAAGTTGGCTCAAAATTTTCTCTCTGGTATTGAGAAAAAAAGCAACTCCAATAACATGATGAATAATTTGCTCAATAATTCGTTGAAAATTCATAGTCTTTCTGGTTAACTCCAATAAGTATTCCTCTAAAATATTTATCCATACGAGCAGTCAAACATCATCACAATCATAACAAAATAACTCCTTGAGATCACTTGACTAGATTAATTTCCCATAATTAACTTCAACAGTTCCTGAAATGCCACCAATTTGAAACCAGTTGGCCTTTTCTTTGTGTCGTCTGCTCAGCATCGTCTGTTCTTGATGGACACATTATACAGTATTTGTTCTGGAGGCGTTGGGTTGCATTATTCAATTACCCTTATGCGATCAACAGTCAAAACCAGAAACACAAGCCAGCTGAAACAAAACAATAAGAAAATAAAACAATTAAAATGGACGACCAATTATTTAACATGCTAATTATAAACTTACCAGAAACAAAAATGTTCATCTGTTCTTTCACTGAATGTTCAGTTACAAAAAAAAACTTTGTAAACTCTTTCGATTCAATTTTAATTCTCAGGGCAATTTAAACTCCATTTGAAACTCTCACTTGATTAGATACTGCCTTTACCTTTGCTGTAATAATTGAATATAAAAATAGACAAAAAGAAGAGGTTAATTTTACCATTAAAAACAGAGGGAAAACACAAAAATGTTCAAAAGCTAAAGTAATTGTTAGCAAATTTTTGCTCCAATATTATTATAAATTGGAATTCTTGTCAATTAAATATACTTTTTTCTTACCTTCTTCCGGCACATGATGTTTCCAGGCTTTAATAGGATAGAGTAAAAATCAATTGGCCAAAATACACTTTAATCAAATACAATTAACCGTAAAACATTTACAACGAAGGCTTAACTCAAAATAAATCTTTCCAATCCTTTCTGTTGAGGCGTGGTTGCCAATGTGACTTGATTAATGGCGCTTTATTTGATTGTCTTTTCCATAAAATGTTTCCATGTTATAATGAATTTAGTTTTAGATTCATTTTTAATGCTAATTATGATATTAAATAACATTTAGTCTAATAAGTCAACTAATAATAATCAGAGATAATGACAAAATCAGTTGAAAATTTGAATGATTTATTCAATAAAATAACCATAGCATGAAAGGCTTGAAAAAAGGAATCAAAATTATCGCAATTAATATCCAATTTCAATTGAAAATGATGAACGTCCATTTAATGTAACAATTGAGTGTTAATGTTAAATGTGTGAAAATTTAAAGTTGACTTAACATGAACAAAAATGCGACACTTTGATCATTGAAATGATCAGTAAATATGATTGATTAACAGTTACAATAAAAGTGTTTCGTCTTTTGAATCACTTTCAACATTAATATTTGATAACTCATCTTTATGGCTAAATTATTACCATTGTGATAAACTATTAGCTATAAAATGATTTTCCCTTGATTTAGTTGACAATTTAAATGTTATAACAGTAAAGATAAATAACAATAACAATAATAACAATAAAGGTCCATTCAATGATTGTATCTTAATATAATCTAAATGTACTTGTAAATGTAAAGTTGATGATATAAAAGTACAAAAGGTTATCATTATTATATTAATATCAATAAATTACCAGAATCAAGAAAAAAAGCCATTCATTTGAATACAATTCAAATTGAAGAAGGCAATAAATTTAATGGTAAATTGAAAAGTTGAAGCATTTTCAATTATTTTGCTCAAATAGACACCAAAATTGGAAATCGTTCAACATTCAATGCAATTGTGATACTCGTCAAGTGCCACCAACCTCTTAATTGCAGAGATGAATTACAATCTGATAACCAACTGATTGTCAGCATCTATTGATTGTCCTTTTTCATTTCAAAAGGTGCAAAGTGAGAGCGACAGTTAACGATTTTCACGATTGATCGACTCAAATCGGCGAAAATTGAAAATAATTTTGATTTTTAGTTGACTTTCTGTATTCCTATTGCTTGGTATTTAACATTATTGAACCATTAAACCAATAACTCTATCAATATAATACTATGAGTTAATTTCATCGTTAATCAAGGAAAAGACTATAATAATGTTAACAGTAATTAACTTAAAAATCATCATCATTAACTGCCAGTTAATTGTTTGACCAAAGAAAATTTGACAGCATAATTATTGGTAAAAGCCACAGAAGAGCGATTCTCTCAAATCGTTAACTGTTCAACTCTGAACAATCAATTTTTCACTGTTCATTTTGTCTTTTGCAAGTTTCACTTTCAAGATTCACCATTAATACCCATTATTATCAACTCTAATTGGTGATCAAATTAATCTCTCTTAATCATATAATTAATAATCAATATTAATATTTACCCAAGAAAATGTTAATTTAATTGTAACCACTATTTACTTTGATTCATCAGTTTTTTGCCTTCCCTTTCCTACTCTTGTTAGACTCTTTTGTGCAACACATTTTTAATCATAATTACTCTTAATTATCATATAATGATCTTTAAAAATTGCATTTCCAACCAACAATCAAAACAAAAGCCATTAACAGACGTGATTCTCATTCAATAAATTCATCTAAATTACCGCAATTAGTAATGAAATATTAAAACTGAAACTCATGTTGAATCAAATCCACTAAATGTGATTAATCATTATCCAATAACAATGAAAAACTGTTGACAAACAAAGGCAAATTATCATGAAAACTATAAACACAATTAAGGTCAAAAATGATTAAAGATAATCTTTCAAAGAAGAGGTCAATTCAGCAGAAAAAAAGTTCTTATTCATTCAATTGAGGCTGATAACCAATCGTCTTATTTGTTTTATGGACGAATGTAGATGATCACCAGAATCGTCATTAAAATCATCTTCATCAATATCATTGTTATCCTTTTATCCTCATCGTTTGGATAAAAGGCTTCATTCACTATTCAACCCTGAAAAAGGCTGAACCATTATCACTGTAACCCGATCATCCGCTGCTTCATCATCAAATTGTTTGTCCTTCTCATTAGTAAATATTATAGTTAGTTTCATGATTGTCTAAATTTGTGTTTTCATTTTCCCTCTTTTTTGTTCCTTTGAACTTCTTGCAACTTTTTTTCGCCAAATTTCAAATTCATCACTTTTTCATCATTGAACAGTTGACAGGCAAAAGTGTAAACATTAATCTTTGAAACAAGTTATCAATTTGCTTTCTACTCATCTTTTCAACTTCATTTCAATACACTTTTCACTCCCAGTTCAACTCCCTTTCACTCCGAGTGTTTGTTTGCTCATTTTATTTTCATTTTTTTTTATGCTTTTCAAGTCTTCATATTTCAATTTTACTTTTACTCAGTGAATAAAAGTCTTTGTTCTTGAGCAAAAAATATTTCATTTCTTTAAAATACGGTATAAATTGATTGATTTGATGCGCTATTTTCACCATTCCTTGCTGTTTAGGCAAAAAATGTGATTCAATGTGTAACCAACAGAGTAAATTAACACTTTTACTCGTTCAACTCATATTTCAAGTCTTAAATATATTCTTACCTCTTCATCTCAACCTCACCATCAGATTAAATTATCAATCAATTTCACTCATAATTTCAGTTGATTTTGCTAAATAACATTGGAAAACCGATCTCCCAACGGATCTCACCAATGAATTTTATTCAAGCAGATAGACTCATGGAGTTTTAGGAAAAGGCTTATAAAATAGAGAATCACAAATATTACAAAAATTGAATTAGATTATTTCAAGATAAACAATGAGAATGAGACCTGAGGTGTAAGAAAAATTTCGACTCTTTTCTAATTGTTTTTGCTTCTCCAGTTGGAATCTTTCATATTAATTTCGGACTGAACTCCGAGTCTACGATGAAGTTTTGTTTGATTCAGGAAAGGTAATCGCTTTCAATTCTCAGATAATTTGACAAGTGAGTGTCATTTCCTCAATTCGATTAGGAGAAGAGGTCAAGAATTGTTTACTTTTAATAAATTTAATTTAATTTGATGAAAAAGAGCAATTTAAAGCATTGAAAAAAGTGAAAAATTTTCTGTATTCAGGCGCCATCTATTGGGATGTAGAAAAACTTATCAATAAAAATTGGGTTTACCAAAAAATCCAAATCCCATTCAATTGTTGCCTAAAAAAGTGAATTATAATGTTCAAGTTTTATTATTAGAAAACTATTGTGAATCAATTCATTTGGAGAGTTCAATTCAATTGTTCATTTTTAGGTTTAATTTTCTCCTTTTATTACGGGAAATTATTGTAATACGGGAAATAAACTCAATTGTGTTGATAATTTATGGTCGATTCAATTGTAATTAATCTTTTGAATATTTTCTCCATCAACAGCAAAGAAATTGAAGTTCAAATAATCGATAATGAAAGTTACGAGAAAGACGCTGTATTTTACGTTGAATTGGGTGAACCAATATGGGATGTAGGTAAGTTGATCACTTCTGGTAGTCTCTTCAAGTCTGAATATCTGTTGACTCCTTTTTTTTTAATTTCAAGAAACTGATTTACCGGAATCGCCTAAATCTAATTTATCTCGCCAAGAGAAGGAAGTCGCTCTTTTAGGTCGTCCGAAATTGGGTGAAGTTTGGAGAGTTGAAATTCGTATCAAAGAAAGTAAAGAGTTTAAGGTAAGTCCCATTTCTTTCTCCTTTTACCAATTTCTTACTCTAACCATCAACACTTGATATTACAAAACAGAATACTGTTGATAAATTATTCCAAAAAAATACCACTTCATTTGTTGGTTCATCATGTTGGTGGGATCAATTTGTTGAAGCCATTACCGTTAGTCCAGGTAAATGTTCAGTCTTACAAGTGATTGCAATTTCAAGTTGAAATACAAGGCAACATAATATTTAAATTTTTCATTTTCTCAACAGGTGATGATGATGGGGGCGATGAAGATGGTGAACAACGAATGCCCTCATGCTCAGATTATGTTATGCACTTTATTACCTTATTTTGGAAAGTATTATTTGCTCTTGTACCTCCCACAGGTAATTAATCATTTGATTCATTGATTCAATGATTCGTTGATCCAATATTATCATTTTCATGAAGATTCGAGATGAGAATCAGTTGAGAAATTTCATTTTCTATGCAAATAAGTCGTCAAATTTGATGTAAAAATTAAGTCTTTGATAAAATTTTATTCATTCTACTTGATTTTTCAGTGATTTTGATTAATAATCTTTTCAGTATTATTGGTAGATTACATAGGCAATTTGTGTAAACTTGAAAATGTGAGGGTCTTTGATAATACTTGTTGTATTTCTTGTTGGAACGACATTAATAATGAATTAGTAAAATTGTATCAAATAATCTTACACTGAATTCTGAATCTCACTTTTCATTGACAGATATTTGGGGTGGTTGGGCCTGTTTCATAACAAGCATTGTGTTGATTGGTGCCTTGACTGCAGTCATTGGTGACTGTGCTTCTCATTTTGGCTGCTCTGTTGGCTTAAAAGATGCTATAACGGCAATCTCATTTGTCGCTCTGGGCACTAGTGTACCAGGTAAGCACAAAAAACGAAGAAAAATAAAGAGACGAAATTTTCCGTCTTTTCCTAAAATCGACCTTACATTTGAAGTCTTTATTAATAAGATATTAATAGTAAAAATTTACACTTGAATTCATTGGCAAGTATTCAAAAAAAGAAATGTTAAGACAGTAAAAAAAATCATGTACTCAAAGGCCTTAGATTGAGTCGAAAAACGTTTCAATGAAGCGATGAAAATTCATTTTTAAACCTGGAATGAGGTTTCAAAGAGAGTCCGAAATCTTATTCCGAACAAAAAGTCGAAAAAGAATCAAATTTTGATCCAAAAAAATGAGCAAAAATTAACTCTTTTATTCTGTTTCCAAAATCTCGTAACAGATACCTTTGCCAGTAAAGTTGCAGCAATAAACGACAAATATGCCGACTCTTCAATTGGCAATGTAACTGGCAGTAATGCTGTAAATGTTTTCCTTGGCATTGGAATTGCTTGGTTCATTGCCGCTGCTCATCACACCTACCATGGCCGTAAATTTTACGTAGAACCAGGAAACCTTGCATTCTCGGTGACACTATTTTGTATATGTGCAGGCGTTTGTTGTATAGTCCTGGGTTTAAGACGATGGGTTATCATTGGCGGGGAACTTGGAGGTCCATTGAGCTGGAAACTAGTAACAACGATACTATTCATTGGCCTTTGGCTCTTTTATGTCCTCATGTCAAGCCTTGAAGCCTACGGAATTAAAACTTATTAAAAGTGAACCTGAAAACCAGAAGAAAAGGGAAAAACCAAAAGCAAAGAAAGAAACGCAAAAAAAAACTCGCATTACCAATCAACTAATATAAGCCATTAAATGATTGCTGTAAATGAACAAGGAAAAGATGGCCAACATTGAAAATGGTCAATTGTTTGAATCGATGGATGGACTTCAAGCGAAAACCAAGTTTCTTTATTGATTAACCATTGGACAAGGTTAAAGGTTGACTCAAAATTAAAGTGAAACCAGATCAAGTCCAGGTTAACCTAAATCCTGATCGCTCATCAAAACTGCGTAAAAAGGCAAACAATAAGAAAATGGATTTACCAATAAATAGTTACAATTGTAATACAATTAATTGCTCACTGCCTAACAAATTTTCATCAACAATCATCATTATTGTAGTTTAACCATAACAAACTGGGCAACAATTAATTATTCAATCGTTGACCAGTTTAGACTCAAACTCTTCCCTCAATTTGAATGGTGAAAAAGCAAGCAAAGGAAAAATGAGAATTTGATTTTTTAGTCTCTTCTTTTCATTCTTTGCATGCATTTCCATTTATCATGGCCATTGTCACCTCTCATCATCATCACCATATTCATCATGAAAACCTTCATTGAAAGTTCAATTTTGATTAACTCAACCTAAATGTGGGGAAACCAAACCTCTGAATGAATCAAGAGATTGCAATTAATTGTTCTTTTCCCATTCTTTTGCCAGTTTCTTTAGTTTAAACCTAATCAACGAAATTAAAGTTAATAGTTTTAACCAGCTACAGTTGAGTGTGTAATTTTAACCTGAATTAGTTTAATCAGCTTTTGATTCTTGATTAACTACTGAGGCCTTCCTCTAAAACAAAATGTCTTCTCAAACGATACAAACAAACAAACCTAACTTATACAACAAAATAACCAAATTATCGTTGATTAACTAGAAATATAAATTTCAATCCTTGCAACAAAAAAGGTTAATCAAGTTGATAAACTGATTATTTGTTTAAAAATTGTTGAAATTGATTTTTGCTTAATAATAAATTCAAATTAATGGATGAAAAAATGAACGGGAAAAAATAAGCAAATGAAGCAAACAAAAAGCTAAATGACAAAAAAATACGTTTTACCTTTATTATTACAATTACATGTTTGCTGTTAATGTTTCATTGAATGTCTTTTGTTGATTATCATTTTGTCAATTAGTTTAATAATCAATTGAAAAGACTTGCAATTGATTGAGCAAATGAAATTGTTACGGAGCAACAATCAACAAAGTTGAACCCAAAATGTTAACGCTTTTTGGTTGCTTCTCATAACCTGAATAGATTACTCTTTATCATCATTTTCATCTTCATCTTCATTGCAAGGGATAAAATGATCAACTCACCGAAATGTGACTATTTTTTGTTTCTGATTTTCTTCTGTTCAGTTCCTATTCTCAGTGTGATTAGAAACATCTTTTTTCATATTTAAAACCATTTCTTTTCAGCTCATTTCAAAGATGCTTGGAAAAGATGAAGAGATTTTTTTTGTTTGTTAATCTTCTTCTTCTTCTTTCACCTGTCTTCATCTTATGTCTCATCTTTTCATTATAAACTTCATTTTCTTTCAATTGATACCACAATTTTCATGGACATTAACCTTTTTGTTTGTCAAGTGTTTTACTGATGAAACACAATTAAGCCAAGATTGTAAAGAAAAGCAAAGAAACAAAATCCAAAAAAATCAAAATGAAAACTAAACAAATTATACTAAAATGATTTAAATCATCAACGAAAAGAAAAGAAAATTAAAAACTCTAATAGAATCTAAATCTGTTTCTTTATTTTTAAATTAAATTACTAAATTTTTCAAATTGCCATTTTCATCTTATAAACATCAATCTTTCAAACCTAACCATTTTTCGTTGTTCATATTTTTATCAACAGAAGTCGCTACTCGTGTTGCTTTTTTGTTTTCATTATTTTCCTTAATTTTTAATTTGCTTTTAATCAAGATTTTTTGTGTTTTTAATTTTGGTTTTAATAGTTTAGGCTCGAGTTATTAATAGCTTGATTGTCTGGTGATTAGATTTCAAAAATATCAAGTTATCGAGTTGGAAATTTAAGATTCGTGGAAGCTTTTTTGTCGATAATTGTTTTGTCTATTTGTTTTTTATGTGCATTGTGTTTACAATTGATTTACTTTCGCTTTTTGGTTTTTAATTTTCGACAATTTATCATCATGTCTAACTTGTGTCAATTTATGTGAAAATTAACAGATAATTTGAGATGTTCTCATATTCAATTTTATCTTGTTCTAGTTTTAGTTTGTTGAGCTTACGGGTTTACAAACAAGTGATCCAAATCAAAGACAACAGCAAATAAATATACAAATTTATCTTTTTAATTACAGTTGGGCACGCTTACATTATTTTGAGCTGGTGTTTACCTTAACAATTTTAACTCCTTTCCGGTTCATATGAATCAATCCTAGCATCACTCATCAACAGCAAAGAGGAAAACAGGTAACAACTCATCAAACTCAAGTGCTTTACATTGTTGGGTAAAAAAGGTAAAGCACAACAAAAAATCAACAGCAAGAATAGGAGATTCAACATTGTAACATCAATTATCTGCAAGTCTTGCTGTTTTACAACTGAATTACAACCATCAATGGGCCGTTTCATTGTCATTTGTTTAATGTAAAGTTTACTCAATTATTCTGTTCATTTCTTTACTCATTATTCACACATTCACAACCATGAACACCCAAAGTCAGGCCAAGTTAATTTAAATTGGAAACAAAAGACTATCAAAAAGCAACAGCAGATTGTTGTTACAAGCTTTCAGGAAAGTTAGTCAATCATTTACATTCAAAGACTTGAAGTTAAATCCAGCAAACTTGAAATGCTAATTTTTAGTGATTCCTTGCTTTTTAATCTCAACCAATCTCATGTTATTCAGAATCATCAACCAAATTGTTCCTCTCTATGGTGACCAATTAGATTGGATAAAGGGATAGATCAATAATAAGTCCATTTTAATAAAAGCCATGAATATAAAGAATGATTGAGCCACGTGTTTACCAATATAATACCATTGACATGGGAATTGAGTTTATTAACTTTCCATCTGCAAGACCTTAAGCATAAAGGTTAGTCATCTGATGCAAATGTTGAAAGCAGTATTAAAATGTAAATGTACAAATTAAGCCCATTTAATGAATAAATTTTGAATGTAGACAAAACAAAAGGCCTAAAAAGAGAGACAAAATTTTGACACTCACTGAATGGATAAAAACTGGTTCTTTGGGTTTCCATGTACATTAATGTTGTACTCTTTACAACATGAATCACACTCAAGATTATTATTGATATAATGAAGGATGAAACTCCCTTTTGGACAGGGATTTTGGGAACCAGGAACAGGGTCAAATATTGGGAATGCAATTGGGAATGTTAGGATAGGGATAAAAAAATGTAATGTTGATGAAATATTAAAGATGCCAGATGGATTCACTCCAAGCTTATAGTAAAGGTTACTTTTTATGTTACTATTATTATTATTAATAATATTATTTCTGCGTCAATTCTGTTGGGAACATTATTATTATTAATATTATTATTATTATCACATCCAAAGAAGGAAAAATAAACGTTGTATGGATTCAATGGTTGATAACATATCGATGCAAGATGTTGTCACAAAACACCAAATTAACTTGAGTTTGTGTTTTTACCTTGTTTACCTTGTCCATTGCATTGTACAATCATTTAATTTTGTAACTTGTCCATAACGTTTAACCAACCAATCAATGGAAACAGTAGAATTGCACATTTTCAATATTTTTGATAATTAATTAAAGGTTCAATATGAATCATTATTAAAACATATAATCTATTTGATGATGTTTGTGATGATTAAGGTGAGACGCACTTCGCGATCTGTTGCAGTTTGTTGGCTTTACATTCAATGCACATGTTAATCAGCATGATTACAATGATGATGGAAAGGAAGAAAGTGTTTCCTTCAGGGAATTGTTATGTTTAATCAGATGGCTTCCTTGCTAGTTGAGCTGAAATTAAAATAGAAAAAACCAAATTAATATTATTCAAATAGTATTGACTATTGACTTAACTTACCAATCTCTATAAGAACTAAAAATAACGGCAAAACAGTTTCTAATTTTTGTGGATAATCGATTAACGTATTTCTTTACACATCGTTCAGCTGATTTGTTTCAGTTGAATTTATGATTAAAAATCGGGGAAAATAGTCAAACCACCGAGACGTCTTCAAATTTCTGATCATAACAACTCCTTTTCGCCTCATTTATACTCAAGCCAACCATTTAGTCCTTGTTCAATCTCATTCAGAGTTAACTCTTCCATTTAGTTTTGCTCTCGTCGGCTTGTTGTCTTTCCATGTTTCGATCAAATCACTTGATAATCTGATATTCAACTGCAAATTGGTAAATAATTGCAACCCAAAGGATATTTATTGTGTCAGTTTGAACGTAATTCGAACCTTGACTTGTAAACAAAAAACGTCAATAGTAAAAGCCCTTAAAAAACATGTGACAAAATGTTCAGTTGGATATTTTTTTTGTAAGAGGAAAAGATGTAAAGATTTGACTTTCTTTTCTTATTTTCTTGCCATTGCTTGACCGGAAGCACAAATATTGACACAATTTGGACCAAGAGGAGACAAAAAAGGCACCACTGACCACACTATGCAAGGATAAGCAGAGTTTCAACTCTCATCTGCTTTGTAAACTTTGACTCTTTTAAAATGTTTGTATCTTGCTGGGTTCAAAATTACCATAGCAATCAGTTCAATGTTGAACAAATAAATTGGACTGGTATTGAAACACCCTGGTTGACGTTGAGGGTTAGGTGAGAAAACAAATTGTCAGCCTTTTTCCCCTGTGAGTTTATCTTTGTTTTGGAGGCAGGTTCAATTGGAAATGATGTTCGCAATTGACAAAAATTATGTTAGTTACATTGACTTGATTTGAGCTTGCAAATGTTACGGCTGTTGTCTGATGAGCGTGAGAGCCTTTGTAATGATTGGTTCAACAGCTTTCGGAAGTGGATAATTATTAAGAGATGAGAAGAGTGTAAAACGATGATCTTGATGATGATGAGAAGCTCAGAATAGATCATGAAAGTGAAAGTTGGTGAACATGAACGCGTTTCTTGCTTGTAACTTTGGTTTTTGACAAAACATTTTTCCTCGCCATTCCAATAGTCCATTACAATTTGTAGCTGCCAGCTAGATATGTATCAATACAAAAAAAAGTGTCATCCAATTATTTAAACAAATATACTTTCCATCTAATTAATCAAATTCAAACTGAGAAAATCAGTTCAAGTAAAATGGCACAATTAAACGGTAAACCTAGAGTGAACAAAGGCTTAACTCTACAGGTTACCAATAAAATAATAATTTACATTATGATTGATGTACCAAAACCGTTAAGCCATCTTTCAACTTGAAATGCACAAAACGTAACCTAATGGAGTAAAAATATACAAAAAATTTGATTAGATTAAATTACAATTGTTGGAAGGATATGTTACATAAGGAAGGAAAGGGAATACTTACTGTGATTAATGAAGAGCTACAATGAACCTGCCATTTTCACTTTCCACATTTCAATGAGTTGTAACTCTCAAGCCCATTGCTATGCACAATGAGCACATCAATTGATTAGAAAATAGTATAATACTTATCATTCACTATATTTAAGTATATCAATAACAAGGTTAATAATAACCGGAAACAAGGTAAACAGATTTTTTTGATACCTTATTGTTTATGTAACTATCTTTTCCTCAACAGCTTAAAAATGGTTGAGAATCCATTACGGGTTAAGCAAGCTAATAAACAAGAGAGGGAAGCAGCAGCGAGAGCAACATGTAACAGGCAACATTTCGTTAACCTTAAGTCGTTCTTAACTCGATTTGGCCCAGAAAATTTGACCTTTTTTAACGGACTACCTGTTGACCGTGAAGTTAAATTACAATAACTACAAAATGGTACCTTTTTTGCCTACAATTAACTCTCTTCTTCTCATCACTGTTTCTTCCTTCTCTCTCTCTTTCTCTCTTAAGTAACTCTGCATAAGCAATCGGAAGCTGGATTCGCATCAATCGTTTACAAACGGAAGAACAAATGTTCACCTTAATTCGACTGATGAATCTATGATTTGTGTCTTTCCAATGTGAAAACATCACGTTAGTAATGCTAATAATAAGGCTAAGGTGAAGCGAAAAAAAGATTCAACATTAAGAAAGTCTAATGACTATAAAGACGGTTAAACTTGGCGCTTTACGCCTTTGCGCTTTTTTTTCTCACAGCCAATAAGATTCCTATTGTGTGTATGTTACACAATTTTTTGCATTTTGTCTTGTCAATATGTTTAATTAATGTTAATTATAATCAGTTTACGTTTGATTTTACTTCAACTTGAAGCTTCAATAAATATGCATCCATTCAGCAACAACATCTTAGTGCCAGATAGAGAAGGAAAAAATGTTGAAGGTTAAAAAAAACCGGATCAAGTTAATTGTTAACTTCTTGCTGTATAACCGCAAGTAACTCACAACGGAAGCTTAACCATGTGCGATTTTCATCTTGCCTCACTCTCACTCTTTCACCTCGTCATCATCTTGTGCTTTTTTTCAATGGGAACCAGCGGCAGATGAGAAGTGGGTGAGCTGATGATAACATTGACTCTTTCACTCTTGTCTTTTTTACTCCCTCTACAGATGATGAGAATGATGATCGGATGCAAAAAAACCTTGGAAGATTGTTTTTTAAAACACAGCAAGGACGATAAGCAAATGTTCAAGACGTTTGTTTTAAGATGGTAAAAGAAGCAGCAATAATTTAAAGAGGGAAAATAAAACGATTTAGTGATCTAATTTTTCTTTTCTTCCTCCCATATCTTTATCCAGGTAAGACGAGCAAATATGTACAACTTGAAATAATGATTACTCAGGTAAATAACTTTAGGTAATTTTGAATCCTTTTCTCCTTTGTTTTCTTACTTTCAACTTATTTATATCCTAAATAAGTTGTACAAATCTGTAGTCCAATAATTTGACCAAAGTCTATCATTAGTGGTCTGAGGGTAAAAATGTTTAAAAAGACTGTTATTATCATTTTGTGTGTTTGCTGACCTTCATCAAACCTTTACATGGTGATCTATCTTAAAGACTTGCCATCATTTTGAGTCAATCAGTGGTACACTTTTTGTTTTGTTTATTAACAGTCTATTAAGGATATAATTGCAGGGTTATAGTTGTAGGTTGAAGAAGGAGACCGAAAAAAACGAGAAAGCAATTTAAACTTTTGATTTACTCATTCAAATTACTTTAAATATATTAACCTTTCATTTTCTTTACAACTTTCTCCTCTAGGAACCACCAAATAACAAGTCGTTTGCGTGTCAAGGTTACCTGGTTAAGAGGTTACAAAACGTGGAAATGATTTTACCTGGTATTTTTGTCAAGATTGACTTCAAGATAAACGATTGAACCTTTAAGCAGACTATTGATTGATTTTCACTTAATTAATGTCAAATACTTTACCAATATGATGATGCTTATAAACCAGGAATGAAAGAGAGACCAAAACTCGGAATTGACGTTGAATTAATATTGAATGGAATGAAATTTTCCTGTTGAACATGTATTGTTGCTAATTAAACTACAATTAGCTAATTTTAGTCTTATTGTTACACGTGTTGTCCAGATTTTTGGCTCAATACTTGTGATTTCACTGCTGATAAAGTTCGGAATGATAATAATGATGAAAAAAGCTAAAAAAAGAGACCAACCTTTTGTTTCTCTGGGAACTTTTTTCTTGGTCGATACTCTATTTTTTGTTGAGATGCTTTTTTTTCCTGTTTCATCCTCATTTCACTTTCATCCATTTCCTTCCTCATCATCAACATCATGCCTTCCAATGTCAATTTTATCATTCAAATTATATTGAACACACAAAGACAACGCACTCACACACACATATTGATACTATTAATCAAAAGCATCTCAATCTCCATTGAATATCTTAACAGCCGTCAACTGATTCCTGATTAACAGTTTAACCTTCTTGCTGACAACCTTGATGGATAAACTCTACTTTCAACGACAATCAGTTGATTGTTTCGCCCAGTAAAGTGAAGACAAGTTAAATTAAGAATTTCCTTTTGTTGAATCTCCCGTTAATATTGAAATTACGATGAAAAGGATCGCTTTGTGTCTAAAAAATTGCCCAATTCTTGATAATCACATTGATAACTGGATAACTGCAACTGTTGATTGTCTGGCTAATGAGCTGATAAACTGAAAAAGAGGTCCAATTTACCCGCTAAATGTGATTAAACAAGTAAATTTTCAACCTAAAACCATCACAACTATAATGTTACAATACATTAGCAGATTAATAATACATTTTTATATAAAACAGCACAATAGAGTTGGATTAATCCCTCAAGTAAATCTAATCCATTTAGCCTGAAAAAAATGTAAACATTACTTTGAACAACTGTACAACTACAGAAATCAAATAATGAAATGAAAACTCTTATTACACAAGCACATCTCAAACATATCTAATTATTCATTCAAACATTGTTGATATATTTTCATCATTGTCATCAATATAATAAAATGAAAGGAAGAAGAAAAAAAAAGAATCGATTGAATTAAAACATTTGAATTATCTTGTAAACAATTTAAACATTTATCAGTACATTACAAAAGCAATGAAAGTGTTTCACCGCTGTTGATTGAACACATTGTTATCATTCAGCTCTTATTGTTCAAAGCAAGGACAATAACCAATTGAATTAGTTTAATTTAATTTAGATACTCAAAAAATATAACTAGATTAGCAGTGAAGAGAAAGATGACAAAGATGAAACCAGAAGATAAACTTTCCCTTTCACTCAAAAACCTACAATTATTCTTGTCTCTTTAGGATCTTGGACGGTGGCCAAAAGGAGGACTTGACAAATCAATATTTTGACGCTACAATTTGACCAAATTAACCTGACCTGAACTTGTTATTACTCTTTCTCATCCTTCTCATCTTTATCATCATTTTTAACACGTTTTCTTCTCTCTCTCTCTCTTCCAGGCTTTTCCCGTTTTTTTTTGAATAGACCTTATGGTTACAAAGATGAGACCGGCATACAAAAAGTGAAAGAGATGATGGCCAAGATGGTAAAGGAGATAAAGAGGAAGAAGAGCCAAGCTCACACACGATTAACAAGCTTATATATTATGAATGGGAAACGCACTTAGCCATTGATAATAATAACATTATTAATAATATATTTAGCTGTTAAACTTGAAAAACGGACCCATGTTTTACTCATATTGCAGTGTTTGCTCAAGATGGACATCAACACAAAGAGTACACATTTTTCAATATTGGACGACATGGAATGGCAGAAACATTAAGAGTCGAGATGACGGAGAGACAAAGGAAATTAAAAGAAGTGAAAAAGATACTGACGAAAAGGTGAAAACAAAAAACAACAACATTGAACATTGGACATTTTATTCGTATGCTTTTTTACCCGGAAACCGTGTGAACCTCGTACTTCCCTCATAACATATGCTCTTCATCTCACCTTTTCATCCATTGAGCCCTCTGTTTTTTTTTGTGAGGCTGAGAAAGAGACAGACTTTTGGTAAACCTTTGCCGGCTTTCATCAGCATCGCTGTATCACTGGTTACCTGATGAATCCATTAAAAAAAAGAGCTTTCAAAGCGTATGTCAACTCGCAAGGAGAGAGACAAGCATGTTGCTGATGTTGTTATGGCTGTTGTTTTTGCGACTGCTGCTGCTGTTGATGGTCGAAGGAAGAGGAATCAAGAGCACGCGGCTTGCCACGAACCAGCTGACCTCATATAAATCGAGTCACATGAGCATCCGATCATGTTAAAGATAATCATCGATAAATGCTAGTTCACTTTTAACAACCAGAGGGAGACAGCTGTTTTCACCAATTCCCTTAACACCATCTTATTCAGAGTGTTTCATGCAGATTATTTTCACCTTTTTTTGTCTCACCATTTCGCTTTTATTTTATCTTGTCAACTGACATTACTTTTTCCTCTTTCTTTCCTTTCTTTTCCCTTCCTATTCTTGCTTTACTAGTCTTTACTGGGACTAACACACCAATTTGTATTGATGGTACAAAACAAGATATCTGTTTAAATCAATTTACTTTTCTCATTTGGTTCTCACTGCAAGCTGCTCATTTAATCAACCTTATTGTCATTACAATCTGCATTTTCACCTTTTTTTGAATCATTTTGTTGTTTTATTTTTACCTTTGTTTTGACCATTAATTATTATTAGCAAAATCATGTGTTAATCTTTACTTTCACATGTTTATATTACTTCATTTCTCAACCGTTGTCAGCTTACATTGGTACACATGTTTTAAGCTGTGTCACAATTATCTTGTGCTTTTATTATCATCTTGGACTAGTTCAAGAATAGTAATGAAAAGGCTTTCAAGTTAATCGCGATTAATTCCCATAGATGATTGTTTCTTTCAACTGCTATCAACTAGATTATTTAATCTGGTGAATTACTCAACTTCAGACACAATTAGAATGTCATGGTATAATGTCATGGTTATCAAATAATATCAAGATCACCGGAGAAATGACTCTTTAGCGTTTTACTCTCATTTAGCAGTTTACTTCATTCGATTTAATCAATCTTCGGTTTTACTAATCGGTTATAACCCGTTTTTATACACATTTTGCATTATAATTTATTCACATATGTTCTCACCTCATTTTATATTGTTTTTACATCCAATAAATGAACGAAAAATTGATCTATTATTTAATTATTAATAGATCTTGGGTTAAGTCTAGAAAATGATTCGAGTCGAGTTCATTTTATCTACACTAGATGGCATTGTTCCTATGTTTTGATTGTGATTTGATTTTTTGATTCATCTAAAATCATCTAACTCAAAATAGTAGACTTAATTCAGAGGTAATTTCATTTCAAGTTAGCTGTACAATTTAATAAAAATGAAGTTTGCTGAACATTTGGCGGCTCTTATTACTCCAGAATGGCGAAAACAATATATACTCTACGAAGAGATGAAATACATGTTGTACAGTGCAATGGAAAGGCAACCATCACCGGAAGGTAAGTGATAGCTGCTGTGCAAATCAAATCTCTATAATATTAATTCTAGCTCTTGTCAATTACATTGTGGTCCATTGAATAATGAAATAAGCAATTTCTTTAAGCAATCGATAGTTTACTTCATTTATTCATTAGTGACCCTTTTCGACTCGTTTTAAATCCCATTTTCTTGTTCCTTATGTTAATTGTTCTATTTTGGTTTCTGGTTTTTCCTTTTTTTCCAATATTTGTCACTATCATTAGTTGCTGATCGAGATGAGATAACTCGGTATAATAAAGCATTTGATGAGGAATTTTTGAGCTTTTGCGAAAAAGAATTGGCCAAAATAAATATATTTTTCGCTGAAAAACTGGCCGAAGCAACTAGAAAATTTTCAACCCTCAAAAATGAGCTCAATCTGATTAAAAGTAAATTTGACACTTTTCCTCGTCGCGATGAAGATGGCAATTTTCGCAGCATTTTTAATGCCAAAGACTTTATTTTACAAAAAGCTGATGAGAGACATCGCAATCGTAAGTTGCGAGAATTAAAATTGGGTTTCTCTGAATTTTACCTTAGCCTTGTGTTATTACAAAGTTACCAGAACCTGAATTTTACTGGATTTGTCAAGATTCTCAAGAAACACGATAAACTGTTAGGGAACGATGAAGGTCTCAAATGGAGAAGAGCTCATGTCGAAAATGCACCTTTCCATTTGAATAAAGAGATTCACAAGTTGATCGAAGAAACGGAAAATCTGTTTACTCAAGAATTAGAGGAAGGACATCGACAGAGAGCAATGAAGCGTCTTCGAGTTCCCCCATTGAATGACCAACAAAGCCAATGGACTACATTTAAAGTGGGCTTCTTTTCAGGAGCGTTTGTCATTTTACTTGCAATTGTATTGATTACTGGAGTATTCCGAGACCCTCAAAATAATCTCACAATTACTTTTCGCCTTTACCGGGCAACCTTTTTGGTGATACTTTTTCTATTCTTAATGGGTATCAATGTTTATGGCTGGAGAACCTCAGGCGTCAATCATGTTCTTATCTTTGAACTTGATCCAAGAGATCATTTATCGGAGCAACACATTATCGAAATTGCAGCTATTCTAAGTGTCCTATGGTCTACTTCGGTAATATCTTATCTTTACAGTGATTATCTTCATATACCCAAGATAATCAATCCGTTGCTTCTGGTTCTGTTTATGTTGTTCTTTCTTTTTAATCCAACTGACACTTTTCAAAGAAATGCACGATTCTGGTTCCTCAGAATAATGGTAATTAACAAATAATTTCAATATTTATTTATAAATACATTACAAGTTAGAGGTTAGACATTATTATAATCTACCATACTATAATATTTACATTTATATTGATCTTTTACAGGGGAGATGTTTAGCAGCCCCATTCTGCCGGGTTAAGTTTGCTGACTTTTGGTTAGCTGATCAGATGAATAGTATGTCACCAATATTTGTCGATATCCAATATTTTATTTGCTTTTACATCTCAGTGTTTTCATCTGGTGCCATAGACAACTGGTATTCAAGTCATGGTAAGTAAGCATTGCATGATCACTTGGCATATAACAGATTCTATAAGGGGAAAATGAAGGGGAATTCACAAAAGGAGATTAACACAAATTGTCAGACAAAACTGCAAAAATATAATTGAAATTAACTCTTAATTTAACATACCTCAATTTGCGAGATGTCTTTGCAGTTCTGAAATGTAGGCCATCGCCTCTTTTAAAAGATCAACAATGTCTATATCACAGTTTATATGTAAAAGATCAACCAATTGGTGTATCACTGTCTCCTCTTCACTAGCAACAAAATTTAAGCTGGGTTTACTTGAGTCCACATTGCGTTGTACCTGGCAACACATTTTGATTTGATTTAACCGAAGTAATTTACACTGATCAATTTTTATTTTGAGTGTTGGTTTGTCACTTTAACAGTTGATACTAAACTAAAGAGAATCATTGATCTTCACTATCTTTTTTATCCTAGTGAGGAGGAGTTTCCTTCAGATGTCATGCGTCACTTTCTGGTACTTTTGACTAAAATTTGACTCTTTTGCTTGTTTTACTTGTCATCATGTGAAATCTTGACAAAAGTATCGCATGAACTTTGACCATCAGACAGCGCTTACCTTTCACTTTATGATTATTAGTGAAGGTGTTGAGGTGGAAAAGGAAGCATTAAGATTATAACATTGAAGGGGACATTCCAAGCTTATTGCCGATAAATTCAAATTTTCTCATTCTATTTTCTTGATTCTTTTTCCAGAGCGATGTTCAGGTGGAACCAAGGTTGAATTAATTACTCGAGCCGTTTTAAATTGTCTTCCAGCTTGGTTTAGATTTTGTCAATGTTTAAGACGTTACTATGATGACAACCGAGGACCTTTTCCCCATTTAGTCAATGCTGGCAAATATTCAACAACTTTTTTCGTCATCCTATTCTCATCTTTAACCAAAGCTTATCAACCCAATTATGATGAATCAACTGACAATCCATTTTTCACTCTCTGGATAATTGCTCTTATAATCAGCTCTTGTTACACTTATATTTGGGACATTAAAATGGATTGGGGTCTATTTGATTCGTCCAGTCCATCCGAGTATCCATTTTTACGGGAAGAAATGGTCTATTCCTCACCAGTCTTCTATTACTTTGCCATTTGTGAAGATTTAATTCTTCGCTTTGGCTGGACATTATCTGTTTCACTCACAGAAATTGGTGTTGTCCATGCTGACCTGATGGTCTCCATTTTAGCTCCCCTTGAGATATTTAGACGCTTCATTTGGAACTTTTTCCGCCTTGAAAATGAACACCTCAACAATTGTGGTGAATTCAGAGCTGTAAGAGATATCTCAATTGCTCCAATTGATGCCGGTGATCAAGCTAAATTAATTAAAATAATGGACGACCCTGATGGTGTTACCAATAGAAAAAATAAACCACGAAAATCAATCAAAATTAATCAACATTATAAAAATTCATTGCAAAGTGCCAACATAAAGATTGACTAACCGTTTTTTTGTAACTTGGCAAAACATAATTTTTTATGTCCAACATAATCTAATCATTGTTTTTCATCATGTTTACCTTGGCAATTATTTTTACTTGTTGATTAGATTTGATTACCATAAGCATCAACTCATCAATTCATCATAATATCGCAATTTATAGATCATAGATAGTTTAATATTTCAAACTACTTATTAATATAATATCATGTTCAACTAATTTTTTGATTCCTCAATTTTCCTTCTCCTTTTTCAATTCCAATTCAATCTCAAGTCCCAATTTGCATTTTAATAACACTTTTGTAAAATTTAAACAATTTTTCTTGTTCAAAAATTATATCTAATCCGGTTGATCAATAAAAAAATTTTAATTGTTGAACAATTTCTCAAAGTAAAATTCATTTTCACTTCACACTGTAGTGTAAAAACCAAAAGTAACATTTAGAAGCCAAATCAGGAAACAATGGCAATTAAAAGCTTAATGTGTCTGTTGACTATTTTCAAAACAAACAATGATTATAAATAATATACTTGGCGAGTAATTAATTGAGTAAATCTCAAATGATTATCCTGAACTTTGTAGCCTTTCAAAGTCCACTTTTACACCTGCGATTGTAACACCAAAGTTGATTTTATCTCTTGATCAATCCTGGTTGCATCTTTTTGCAATGGGTAAATACATAGGATTGATTGTAAAAAAAAGGATTTATAATGGATGAAACTTATTGATTGAAGGCAATTATTGAGACACGTGAAAATGTAACCTGCAACTATTTTACTTGAGTTACCTGATCAGGTGTACAAGCGACTTACTGGCGCCAGACAAGGAGACTTAAGACGACTGGCCTAAAAGGCCTAAAGGCAATTTACACTCACCTTTGCTTACCTTTGAAGTTTAAGGTTGAACATTTTAGAGCAAATTTTTGTCAAATGTTAAGCCTAAGGTTAAAGGTTGAGAGGGCAGAGGAAAGACAAACCTTTACCGACATATTACTTACCTTTTCTTAACCTTTTTACAAACTTTCATCATTCACAAAAAAAATTTCAATTCAATACCTCATTCAATTACAATGTACTTATAGAGTTGTGAACGGTTTTTTGTAACCAACATTTGTTGTCCTTTTTGGTTATTCACGCTTTATTATTGTCCAAAATTGGGATCATCATTTAGAAAATAGTAATTTATTGACAAAATTTTCCATTCATTAACTAGCTGTGAAGTTTTGATTCATTGTAATATCCATTATTTATCAATGTTTTTACAATTTATCATATTTACTAGCAACAAAAACAGTTTTGCGGTTAATTTGAGTTTTATTGATAAAAATTGCGCCTTTTAGTTTGCTATCAATTAAAAAGATGGCGTTGTCTGTTTTTGCTGGAAATTCAACAAAATATTGTTTGTTTACATTTTTGATGCGTGGCAACTTGTAATCTTATTTTTGTGATTATTTGTTTTGGAATTTACTTTTGGTTTTTTCTAATTGTTTTATATGTGTATATTATTGACCATTAACTAGTGATATTGTTGGTATCTATCATGGCTTCAGATTGGGAGGAAGTAAAAAGATTGGCTGCCGATTTTCAGCTGAGTCAAACAGTAGCAACTCTTCAGCGTCTCTCAGAACGCAATTGTATTGAAATTGTCAAGAAATTGGTTAATTTAAATTTACTAGATGTGATTTATACAGCTGACGGTAAAGAATATATCACTCCTGACCATCTGATGCGTGAAATTCAAGATGAATTGATAGTATCGAATGGAAGGATTACCTTTGTGGATCTTGCTAATAATTTAAATGTTGACTACAGTCATATTGATGTTAAAGCTAAAGAAGTTGCCCGATCTTCTTCTGGTTACATTTCATTTGTCAATGAAGAGCTTATTAGTCGTGATTACAAAGAACAATTGGCAGTAGAAATAAATGAAAAGTTGCAGAAAAAAGGTGTTCTAGATGTTTCTGAATTGGCTAAAAATTATTCATTACCAACTGATTTCATCCATCAAATTATTGTGTCTCATCTTGGTTCTACAATTGATGGTGTTCAAGATGTTAATAATCAGTCAACATTTTTTACGCGCAATTACATTGATCAATATAAAGCAAAAATTACGGGTGTTTTGTCAGCTATTACTCGTCCATTGGTGGTGTCTCAGATTGTTAGCAGATATCGATTTCCTGAAAGAATATTTAATTGTAAGTGATATCATAAATCCTTAAAATATCAGAGTTTTACAATGTTTGCTTCTTTCTTTAGCGGTATTGGACGATTTATTGAAAACAGGACGAATAAATGGCCAATTAACTACTGGTCTCAATCGAACTTTTATTCCAAGTATTTACTCATCAACGCAAAAAGAATGGATTGAAAGTTTTTACAAGCACAATGGATGTCTTGAATATGACGCTTTAGCTAGAATCGGTATCTCCGAGCCAAAAGCTCTCAAGAAAAGACAAGGATTTGAAGATTTAATTTTTTTATCCACATGTTGTGTCGGTACAAGTATCATTCTGCAATTGGAAGGTGCAGTAGATGATTGCTTAGCTGATAAATCATGGATGAATTTGACTGATGTTCTTCCCTCGATTTTAAATGATGATGATTTGAAAATATTGATTGATGAATATAAAGCTCGCAATGAAAGCGAGGCAAACAAGTTTACTTTGTTAAATAATACTCTTATTGTTTCGAATGAATTTGCATCGAGCTGTTTAGAACCATTAAGTGATTTGATGAGAGAAAAGGCAGAAAAAGATTTAAAAGATGGAGTTCTTTTCAAAATATTTGTTGCTGCTAATCAAGCATTTAAAGATAAAGCTGCTGCTGGGGATTCTAAATCAGCTGCAGCTGTCAGAAAAGACGAGCGAAAGCGAAGATCTGGTGCCACTAAAACCTTTTCCACCCAAGGACGTGAAGTTAAAACTAAAGCTGTTAAAAAGAAGTATCGAGCTAATCAAAAAGGTGCTGGTGATGAATCAGGCTCTGAAGATGAATCTTCAAATGATCCTGGATTGTCTATCGATCTTACCAGTCTTATCAATGTTTTAAAAACAAAAATTGATCCATCCGGTGAACATGACGCTGAAACTGTTGAAACAATCTCTGATTTCCTTATTGAACCTCTAAGAGCAGCATATTTGGAAATCGCCCGTCAATTATTCAATGAATCAATGAACAAGGAAACATCTTCCATAAAAAAGACTGTTACTGATGTTCAAAATACAATTAATAATTTACACGGCAATATTTTAATTTATGAGAAAGGACTGAAAACTCTTGATGGTGAGTGATTTCAAACAATCTGGTTATATTTATCACATTTAGTTAAATAATATTTTTCTCATTATTTTTTTCTATTGCAGATGAATTACGGATATCGCTTTCTAAATATCTACTGAAATCTCTTTGTTCAGAGTTAGTTGATAACATTTTATTTCTTGTTGATCAAGAAAGACAGAGATCAGGTCAACCAATGGGAACATCGAATGAGGTAAATACTTGAATCATTAATGAAATGGATTAAAATTTATTAATTGATAATTACCTCATTTTTTATTTTAATTTTTAGGGTCGTCAGAAAATTATCAACAAATTAGACTCCAAGCTGAGGGAAAATTTCAATAAATTGGTTGCTACTTTAAATGATTCTACACTGGACAACTTTTTTACTGAACTGGACAATACTTTGGAAGCTTGTGACATTATGATTAAAAAGGTTGATAAAAAAAGAGAGGCAATAATGATCAGTGAACTTCGTCAAAATTTAATAGTCACTCTGAATGAAACTGACTCACTTGATTATCCTTTAATTTTACATCTTTGTGTACTTTTGATATTTGGATCTGCCAAACAAATTATGGTGCATGCATCTGGAAAATTTGTCCCACAACTTTTGACTGCATTGAAATCATCTTTACCATTAGAAACTCATCAACTTTTCCGTGAATGTGAAGACTTAATTGTTCGACGTTTGAAAGCGCAAAAGGACGACACCAGTGAAGAAGAAAAGGAACAAATTGAAAACAGATTGAAAGATTTGCTTCCAAAAGTGAAAGAGATTGCACTGAATTACAAACCATCAAAGTAATTCACAATCTTTACAATTCGGATCATCCATTTTCTCCATCATGCCAATATTGTCTATATTGGAAAAATTGTTTTAGGTGAAAGAAATAATCAAATCAAATTACCTGATTTTTCCATGTTGTATGTTAAAGTTTATTTTATAAAAATTGATTATATCAAGAGAAAATATTTCACAAGCTAAACATAAACTAATACGAGGACTAAATTGTTCATCGCATAAATTTATATGAAAACAATAATATAATAATATTAAATATAATAAAATTTATAAAGAAATCTATTGAAGGTGGTAATCTAAATTACTTTGTATTTCATTCCTCAATATCAAAATAACTAGAATAACTAAATAGATATAATTTTCTAGTATATTTAATCTTTTATTGCGAATGAATTGAAAGATCAAAGATGCAGATCGTTAATTTATAATTTAATCATGTTCAACTCAAGCATCATTCAATATCCTATGTGGAGGAGGTCCAGGAATAACTGGAATAGCGCCAAGTTGTGAAGGATCGTTAATAGGGACAACCTGTCCATCAGGATAGCCTTCAACAAGACCTGCTTCGTTCATTGCTTCACCAGCCATAGCATCAATATATTCAGAGAAAACGTCTTCAGTTCCAATCAAAGGACTTAGCCTTGTTTTCAAAGGACAATCAGAGCAATTATAATCAATATCGAGAATTGATTAGAGTTAAATCAAATCAAAAACAAATATCTTGTTAAAATGAAAAAGTCTTACCAAGCTTGATATTGGAGGCAACATTTCCTAAAAGTACCACAACATGATTTTGAAACCCATGGAACACAGCTGCAGATTAATCCAAAGCAAAACGATTCAGATGAACGGACAAGAGTGATGAATATTACAAAACAACACAATAATAGATTGTTAATGGCAACCATGTTTAAATTAAAATCACTTCAGGAATCACCGATTGAGAAACAAATTGAGAAACAATAATCTAATAATAATGTAAGGAAAAGTGAAGAAAAGCAAATTGGACAAAAGTGAAGATTAAAGCAAGTTTGTGTTTAATACATTTTACTAATAATGTTAAAATTGGAAACTCGTATCAATCATGTCTCCAGAATCTTTGATATCTGATGAAACCCTGATGAAATTTGCAGTCTAGTTTAATCTCATTAACTTAAGAAGTGTAGGTTAATGAGAGAAGCAGCTTTAAACAAAATAATTAACAAAATAATTTAGCCAAAAAACAAAGCAACCCCAGCAACATGGATGCGGGAAAATGAATGGAAACCAGAAAATTGGATCACAAAATTATTCAAGCCATTATTTCCCTATGTAAATGTGTTGTGATTAAGGGTCTGAAATCTTAATCCCAATGTAAGCAAACGTTGAACATTGAATCATGATTGAAGGTGTTCAAAGATGACACACCAATCTTGATTGAATCTGCCCTACGAGCCAATAAAACCAGCAAAACAAATTGGGTTAAAACAAAACAGGTTAATTTGAATCATGTTTTATTAGTGTTAAAACACAGCGAGTTACAGGTTGAAAAGGAAAGGACAAGATATACTGAATAAAACATTGATAATGTGTAAAGCCTAAACCTGACAATAGATTGAGTCGATGAAAGGTTCAACAGTATCTGATTACTGACAATTGTTTTGATGTAACAAATCAACCCAGTTAAGTTAATATTGATGATAATTTACAGGCCTAAGGGACTATTTGAATATCCATTGTTTGTTTAAAAATAGCTTAAAAGAGACCAACAATAATTAACAGAAGTTGCCTGAAAAGGATTGAAGGAGGAGAGCGAAAAAAAGGAGACCCAAAAAAACAAAGATAAAAAAGGGTAAGCTATATGTCGGTAAAGGTTTTACCTCTTTACCATCCACCTTTCACCTTGAGCTTAACATTTGACAAAAAGTTGCTGTTTTACTTTTCCTCAAAGCAAATCAAAGGTGAATTGCCTTTAGGCCTTTTAGGTCACTCGTCCTAAGTCTCCTGTCTGGCGCCAGTAAGTCGCTTGTACACCTGATCAGGTAACTCAAGTAAAACAGTTGCTGGTAACATTTTCACGTGTCTAAGTGTTGACAATCAATAAGTTACATTTAAGGCCTCAATGTTAGGTTTACCTCTAAAGTTAACCCAACTCTTGAAATGAAACCTTTCAAACTTCAATAATGTCCAGTAAATTGTAATTGTATAATAATTGGTAGCAAAAGTGAACCAAATGTTGATTAAAAACGAATCAAGTTACAATTTTTTGGAGAATCAAAATTTAATCACACTTTCAGAGTTAATCTAAATCTAACGAGAAGAATGAAATTTTTGCCAGATTAACACAAAATTAATAAAGTACCGTTAATCAGATCAAATTACCTAAATTTTTGTAAAAAATGAATTGATTTGCTGAAAGATGTCAACAAAGTGAAAACAAAAGTTGAAATGAAATATGAGAAACTCAAAGGTATCTCAAGTATTTCAATTGAAAAATGGATTGAAAAGAAGTGAAAAAAGTAAATTAAATTCAAGATCAATTCAATTGTTGATAACAACTGGATGAAAGTGGAACCTTAAGCCGTAATTATTTGTTAATTAATTTTCTCAATTTACAATTGTATCAATGATGAAGAGGAAAAAAATTGAACTAAAATTGAAAAATGAAATCTCAACCTTTCTCTTAAAATGATTATTTTTAATTTAAAAATATTGTCAAACATTATTAATTTTCACTGGGAATCAAAGCATAAATATCAAAGGTTGATTCAATTGACTTGAATCCATTTTGGAATGCTTTTCATTAAAAACAAATGATTGATCAAAATGTTCACACAATTTAATTCATTAGCAATAGACTTAATGATGATATTAAAAATATAAAATGGTTGAATCAATGGTTAAACCATTTGAAAAGGGTAAACATTGGTTAACAATGAAGACTCATCAGATTTATCAAACACACACAAAAAAAGCTAAATCAATAAATTTCAATGTTTTATACAATTTAAAAACTGGTTAAAAAGGATGAAATTGAATGGTGAAAACATTGATTAGTGGATTGACTGGAAACAGTTTAATGCTTGAACACGCACACAGAATGAAGAGGGCTTTGTGAGATGATTAGGTTAGATTAAGATAAAAATGTAAATGGAAATTATTCAGTTGCATCTAAATATTACCTTATCGTTTGGCTTACTGTTTTATCCATTTTTACTCCCAGTCTTTTCTGGATTTTCTTATGCACTTACATTTCTTTTGGCAACAATCTCTTAACATTATTATTGCCCTGAAAAGTTATTTCTCCTCCAGAGTAAAGCAAAATTGTTGTATCTTCATCATCATCATTATTATCTTCATTTTTCTCTCTCTTCCTCATTCTCATCATTCACATTCGCCTCAACTATTAGATTCAATTTTTTCTCCCTTTTTCTTACTCTTATTGCAAGTTCATTCCTAGTCACAAAATTTTTGGTCCCTTTTCTTTAACTCATTTTGTAGTTACTTTTTGAAAAGCTCAGAGCATCCCCTTCATCATCATCAGTATCATCATGAAAAGCAATAGTACAAAGTAAAATCATCTTCTTTCTCTTTTTCATTTCAACATCTTTTACAGAGACTCACACACACACACACATTGAGGCTAACATTGAGGCTAACATTGAAGACTAACATTGAAGACTAGGAGAGAGACTTGTTTTGAGAGTTTCAACTCTGAGCTTCTGGATAAGGAGCATGATAAAAGGGAAGGAAAAACGAGAGATGATAAAAGATGATGAAGGAAAATGAAGGTGACGCAGCCTCCAGGAATCTTTCCCTTTTCCCTGTTTCTCTCCTTCTTCACTATCAACATCAGAATTGAGATGAAATAAAGGTTCAACTTGCCTGTTAGTTGCTTACCATGGTGTCGATCAATAGCATCAACATCATCATCTTCAATTCCAACTCCACCATCATCCTCCTCACCATCGCCATCCTCATATTCATCTTCATCTATCGCCAGTTATTATTATTATTATTGTTATTGTTGTTGTTCCTGTCATTATTTTATCAAGTAAAATGTTGTTCTCATCTAAATCTAATATTACAATATCAACAACCTTTTTCCTTCTTTGTTTCATTGTTGCATTCAAATGGGTTGACAGTCGGTCAACGTCAACCTCCAAAGAGTCAACTTCAACCTCAATACCGACAACACCAACAACAACCACAACAACAGACCTAACATCAAGTTCAACGGCAAGTCAAACATCAAGATCAACATCAAGATCAACCTCAAAGCCAACAAGGACAAGTTCAACAGCACAAAGTCAAACCCAACAACAGACTACAGTAAGAGTTTCAGTTAGACTTCATCGAAGGTCCAACACTTGGAATTTTTCATCCTCATCTGCACAAGCCAATCAACCACCAATATCATTGAAATTTGTCATTCAGCTGGTTGGTGGAGTTTTATTTTCAATAACACTTCTTTGTATGTGTTGTTGCCTCAATTTTCGTGATAAAAGGATTCCTGGTTATCCAGGTTCTGGAGCTTCCATTCGTGGTTATCGATCTGATACGATAAAAAGAGCACAACCAGCATAGAGATGAGAATAAACTTAAACATTGAATAAGGAATAATAATAATAATTATTATTATTATTTATTTCTGGTAACATTAATAATATTTGCTATTATTTATAAAAGAGTGAACAATGAGCATCAACATCATCAGCCTATCCAACAACCAGAACATTAAAGGTTACTGTTTTTTTTCCGGTTCAACTGAGATCAACATTTGGTAACATAAACATTCTGGTGAGTTATTACATTCAGATAACATCAACCCAAAAACCAGCATCCATCTCGAAATTGTGTTAATGTGTTAATTGATTATGGTGCTGATTATTTGAGTGAAAATGATCAAATAATCATCATTTCCAACTGAAAAAGAGGTAAGAAAAAAAAACAAATCATTGTGAATGTGATAAACAAAAATATAAACAGCTCAATATTTACCATTTCTCATCGTTTCATCTTTCAAGCAATAGTAACATTCATCAGCATTCACATCACACGCACATCATGTTAATGTTTCCAAATGATTTTACAATTTCAAATCTGATTGAGACAATTTAAATCAACACGGAGATGACTATGTGAAGTAACCAAACAGAAGATTCAACACCAATAACAACCTCATCATTAGTGCCTAATACATTTGTTTTGATAATAAAAAGACTAACTCAGGATAACTCAGAAATTCAATCGCGACTGTAAAATATTGGTGCAACAATATATATATTAATATGAACATTAATATATTAACTAATTGATCAACTTTAGTATCAACACGACTGATGAACAACCTAAAGAAAGGAAATATTAGCATTTGATTAAATCAATTTAAAGCCAAAAAATATGAAATTAATCAACCAGAGACAATAAAAAATCAAACCAATTCAGCTCAAAGTGATTTTTCCTGTAAGAACTGTTAATATTGTTAATCTTGATTAATTAAAAAGATTCTTTAACACATAAATATATAACTATTTCCTTTATAAAATCATCTAATATGAAGATATGAAATGATAGAAATAATTATCATCGTTTTTGCAGCAAGCTGGTAATCTTTAATTTGTTGCCTTTTGTTTAACCTTACATTTTGTATAATAATTAGCAAATATTATTGCTTCATCTATAAAAATACAACTCATAATTACAATCAGTGATTAATGTAACACGAGAGTCTCTGAACTTTGCTTGAAAGGTTAAACCTAGAAATAAAAAAAACATTGTTCAATTTTGATATCTTTTGCAAGGCAATTAATGATTTACCATTTAAGTGAAAACCAGTGAATATGTCGATTTATGTTTTATATACACACTCGAATCAATTGTAGCTATCAAAACCAAGCAGACCATTTGAAGATATTTACGATTACCAAGATTAACGGTAATGATAGCCAACCCAATCCGTTCATGCCTTCGCATATTTTCGCAGTAGGTCGACAATTACACTGTGACAATATTTGTAAGCTTCCAATCCAAAAATTGGGTCCACATGATTCCAATCAGGATAAGGTACAACGTAATCTACCAAGGGTGGACCTAAATTGAAAAGAAATAGTTAATCAATTTTTTCCATTGGCGTCTATTCAAGTGTCTTACCTGATAGACGTTTTTTCAATATTGCAACGTTAGCTGGAGACGCTAGGTTATCATTTAGGCCACTGATTAAAACTAAATTGTGAGTTGGTATTCGAGAAAAGTTATACCCAGGAGCTTTTTCGGTGCCGTAAGTAGCTAAATTTTTTTTCGAACCATAATCAAATTTGCGGAACTCTTTAGCTAATATTACTTGGGCGAAATGAGTTATACTTTTCTCTGGTATGGAATCAATTAGACTGGTTATTACTGGAAATCGTTTTCCATTTAGCATCTTCGGATCGTAGCCAAAAATTAAGAAGTAAATAGTAGTACAAATTTTTTTGAGGGCAGGGTTGGAGCAAAGAACGGACAATGTGGCATCAAATTCAGCCACAAAATGCGGAAAAGGGCCAAGTAAATGAACGCGAGTCAGTTCTTCAATCACTGGATTTTGAAGTGCATGATAGAGCAGGATTGGAGGCACTTCATACGAACCCACCGGTGCTATTGCAATGTTAAGATCCAGTTTATCAGCCAGCGATGGATCATCCGAGAGCGACAGAAACATTTGAAGATTTCCCTGAGACATGCCAATGTAGACAATTTTTTCTGTTCATCAGTGAAGCCAAATTGAAATGCACAAGATAAATGTTGGAACAAAATATAATATTAATATTAATAAATAGGTAATAATGAAAAAGCCACAGAAAAGTGTAAATACTAACCGAAACCAGTAGTATTGGTAACATAATTTATCATTGCCGGGAAATCATATGTACCCATGTCAGCAAAACTGAAATCCCAAAATTCTCTATCTATTATAAGTGAAAGAAAAGGTTATAACTGAATTGTTTTAAAGACTGTTAATTACCTTTAGATGGGTTAAGTGTCGTATGGTTAGTTGAGTAAGATGTCCCTCGGTTATTGCCAAGCCAAACATCAAATTCAAGATTAGCCAAAACAAAGGCAAGACTGCTTGATGTAACATTGGGTGGAACACCCAGAGACCATTCCTCAATGTGACCATCAGGCTGATTGAACATCCAACAGCTACAGGACAATAAAACTCCATGTACCAACAGAACTGGCTTCAATTTTTTACCATAAGCTGCTTTAGCATAAGGATTGATGATCCGATACAATTGTATGATGTAACCATCATCTGTGGTGACGAAATGGCGCTCATATCTGAATCCGCGAGATTCAATTAGCTGTCCACAGGTTAAAGCTTCATCGTCAACTCTTTTAAATAGCTTCAAATAATTTTGTTCAGTTTCATATTCCTTATTTTCTGAAGCTGGCTGTAAAATGTCACCAACTGTGGATGTAAGTTGCTCCAGGATTTCACCCAGTACTCCATGAATAGACCAAGGTAAAATGAGAAGACAGGCAAAACTTACAAAAAGTGATTTCATTTCAATTTTCATTTACTTTGTTTTTACTCATGCAAGTAATTGAATTATCCAATGCTCTGGAACTTTTAATGGATAAAATGAAAGACGTCATATTAATTAAAGTGAGCAATTGATATAATTCTTGTTAATTTGTGAACAATAAAAAATTATCATTGAATGCTGTATATCAGCCATTGAACGGTCGCTTTGTGTTGGCTTACAGTTAGCTAGCAATGTAAATATAAATACAATCAATGAGCAACCATTACTAACCATAGTAACCCAATTTTGAATACGTGATTGGTTTAATAATGGGACAATTCATTGTATCGGGTTAAGTCACTATCGGTTAACTAACTAGATTTGGTCTGAAAAGGTTTCACTTTAATTTGTTACCCAATTCGGAGACAATCTGATATCAATATTCAATATTCAATTGAAATAAATTATTTATACTTATCATAGCTCATAGGCTTATATGAATATTAAACCATCAAACATTGATTTGCCGACTTGAATTACAAATTGATCATTGCTCTGGTATTTATTACTGTTGTGTTTGCATTGGCAATGTATTTTTCAGTTGAATTATGTATATTAAATATATTTATTATACAATAGCTGTGAGCAAAATGTAAACAATCAGGGTGAACTTGAAATGTAATTGAAGTGAAAAAATATGAATGAAAGAACCTAAATGACAGCAAATTTTGCTTAATAAATCGATTAGCTTTCATGTGATATTTAGTCAATCATTTTTACTCTTTTTGGGTTAAGAGTTGAATCTTTTGTGAAATCAATTTTCAAGCCAAAAGATATGACTTTTTTTTCCTTACCGATCAATCAACAACAGAAGACGATAAAAAGACTATCATTTCAATTCAGTGATTTTTTGCGGCAAAGATGTGAATGTTTATGTTGATTAATTAAAGAAATTGTTAAGGATGGGAAACGAAATTATTGGTCTAATAAAATCATTTCTAGTGATAAAACAGTGTGATGGATATAGCGAGGGAAGGAGTAAATTTATGATCGTAATCAATGCTTTTTCATTTATTGAAGACATTTTTGCTTTGGTTGCTTTGTTTATCCTTTCAACCTGCAAATGAGGTTATATTTAGTGATAATTTTTTACAGAATTGAGTGATTATATTGAAATTCAACTTGTAAAATCAGATGACGTTTCTGGTCAAAATCAATAAAATCAATTGTCCAGCTGTGAACAGCTGATATTTTGTCCAAAGATTTGCTCAGTTATTTCTATAACCCTGTGAGGATGTTTTTGAGCATTTTTGGCATTTCAATCACAAATTGGGTCTAATGATTATCCAATGATTCCAATCAACGCAAGAGTATAACGCAATTTACCAAAGGTGAACTTAAATGAAAAGGAAACAATCCATCATTCATCAATATCTATTGAAGAGTTCAAAGGGATTTCAATCACAGTCAATTGTGGTTACAGTCAGAGTGAATCACATACAATATAAAGTAAATTCACCTTACATGGGATCGGATGACTAAAACTAGGTATGTGAGTTGAAGGAGGAAAACAATACCAGAGAAACATAACCAACAGCATAATCACGTACGAGAAATGATGGCTTCTGGATGTTGATGTACCCAAAAATGATAATCAAGAAGATTTTGCAAATGAATAGGGAAATCGCCTGTTGAAATATTCACACCAAATGAACTTTTTCAATGTAATTTTTAATGCTGATTCCGAAAATCCAATTAAGATACGACCACGCGTTCATCAGAAAATGTATTATATGCATTCGAAGTTTGCAGAAAGTCGCAGAACCATCTAACCTGTGGGCTAAAATTTAGGGACAAATCAGTATATTCTGAATAATTAAAAAACAAGGAATACTTATTAGATAACATTAACAGGAATTAATGAATATACCATGAGCTAAATGATACAGAAATTTGAAATGATTTGGAAAATCAATTCATCCTTAAATCACCATATATTAAGATCATGAAGAGTATCGTGGCACCTACTCTTAAATGTACAATTTTTTATGATAGACGCGCCATTTATAGCAAGAAATACGCCTGAAAAATCATTTCTAAAGCTAAGAAATGAACAAAAGGCTAAACAATTAATCAACCTGAGACAATAAGATAACTATACTAACTTAAGAATAAACTTTGGATTTAAGTCTTGGGCTGGAGGCTTTTGGAACGGCGTCGATTGAAAGTCAAGTCTTGGTATCTTTTTTGCTGAATTTCCCTAGAATTTTCTTTAAAAATACTTTTTAACATATTTTTTAACCACAGATTAGCACAAGAACGATTTTCTTGCCAGTATATTTAGTTAATCTTGATTAATTAAAAAGATTTTTAAAGATAAAACAACATAATGATTGGTCTGATAAAATAATTTCTAGAGACACAAGAATGAATAAGATGAATATCAGAAGGGCAAAATAATATGGAAGTGATGGTGATGATTATGATAAGGATGCTGCTGTTAATGGTGTTACTCCATTAATGAATGCTGATAATGTTGTAGTAGTAAAGTGAAAGAAAGTGACTGATGATCAAGTTAAATGTGAATATATTAACTGGTAAAACGGAAAACAGTGTTAACTTGATCCTTCCTTTGATAAAATTGTGTAACCTTGGCAAAGAAATTAAAAGGTAAATGTAACGTTGATTAAATGATCTGGACAGTAAAATACAAGAGCAGTAAAAAAGGGAAAATAATCAAATTGCTATTTACCTCTACATCCATATTTCGATCCAATTATAAATTATTTCAATTAGAAGCATTTGTAACTTTCAAGGCAAGTAACCAAAAATACATTTACAGTTGCAGCAACACGAAGAACAGCAGTTGACTAATTGCCTTTTTTCCTGTCCTAAAGTCATTTTTGTCCTAAATTGGAACACAAAAGCTCAGCAATTGTAAATAATAACCATCATGAAATTAAAATCAAACGAGGATCCAGAAAAAAAACGATGTACCACCAAATAATAAATTGACACTTCAACCTTCCATCTTGTCTTGCTTCCTTCGTAAAGTGAATCTACAGAAAGCAAATACTTTGAGCAAAATAACATTAATTGTTGAATCTTCTGTCATGTTGAATAAAGTTGAATAGTATACAATGGGTTGAAAGTAGCAAATATAGCAGTTGTAAATAACACAAAAAAACTAAAAGACAGTCAAAATAAACAAGTTATTCGAAATGAAACGATTTATCTTACAGCCTTTTATCAAATGCAGGGTTAAATGGCACATAATTTTAATCCTTTGCGTTCTCCCAGCTGTTAACACTAACAAGTAAACAATTACAATATAGACTTGAAGATATTTCAATGGTAAACGAGTAAATAATCAAGAAATAAATGTAGAAAATTAAAATTAAAACAAACACAAATCGGAAAAATCAAATTGATATAAAAATGAAACCCTTTCTCATGACGAATTGATCAACCTCCTTCCCTCTCTTTCACCAGAAGCGGGAAAAGCACAATTTTTGCGGTAAATTTGATATTATTTTAGTTGAGCCAATTCAAGTTTAATTTAAAAACAGAATAAATTGTTGAGTGGAAAGAATCAAGAAACAAATTATAAAATCGATTCAATGATTGTAACCACACTTGATGAAAACTCTTGATACAAAAGTGGCAATTTTGTCAATTCCTTGTAACCAAAGAGGACATTTTTTTGCCTTCCAATCATTTTAAAGGTCGATATAAGACGAAAATTTTTTGAACACTTTGACCTTATACTTTTTCCGATAAAGATTGTAAAGATTGTATTGATTGTAGACTAAAAAATGGTTGAAATGGTGAAAAGGGTTACAAAAATAAGAGTTACAAAGTGTTTACTTATACTTGAATGGAGAAACACTCATTGAATAAGACCATTATCAGTATCAACAAAAGACACAAATTGTTTATCTGAATATCATACAAGGGAATCAAACAATTAAGGTTGACAATAATGAAATAGATAAACAAAATTAAACGTTTCAAATCCTCTTATGGTGATGAAATGAATAAAAAAACCAGAAAATTGACAGATAATCCTTTTACCTCTTGAAATTGTTTTGATTTTGACATGAATTTTTTTTCATCAATCAGTCTTGCAACGAAAAACATCTGACTACTTGTGAGTATACATTTCTGGTGTTCAGTAATTCATTTCAGAATATTTATCAGGAAAAAAATACAATTGCTGGTTGAACTGTTCAACATTCAATATCAACCCAAAATACTGTATATTCACAATTGATTGGGTTACTTTTATGATTACATGTTTTCTTCGTCCTATTTTTCCGCTCTTTTGAATTTGAAACTAAACCCATGAAATCCATTGAAATTGAATACGATGAATTGATGAAAAGCAGTTGAGAAAATTGAAGATTATCATGACTATAGAGGTTGCTGGTAACAACAATTGTTAGAGCCATCAACTGATTGACTAAGGTTCCAACGATGGCGATTCTATAACTGAGTTTATATTCCATTCCAACCGTTGTTTAGACAATCTTCAATGTTATCGTCCAACTTATATTGTTCAACAAAAATGATTCCCAAATTTGCAGATTTAAAGAGTAATCTGGTAATTCTTGGTGATTTCTGGTATTGTTTGCTTTTAGCTTCAAGGGTTCATTTAGGGACAATCGTCGCCAGCAAAGTCGCAAATTGATTTGGTTATTTATACTTTCTGTTAATTAAATTTATTTTTTACTGTTCTATGAATGATAATTAATGTTCAGGGTTAATTACATTCTGATCCTTGGGTGGAAAATATTGTGTTTACCTTTTTCTTTGATGAAGGAGAAGCATCAGAAATAGATTTAGTCTGATGAGTTCAATTTTTTAGACTTGTTTGCTATTTATTAACTCTATTTGATTATGATAATCATAATGTAAGTTAACTGATCAACTAACCATTTTCTGATTGTTTTGATGAGCAAAAATTGAGGCAAATTGAAATTTAATTGTTGAGTCAAGTGTAAGGTAAATGTCATTTTTTCTGGTTTTCCAGATTATTAAACTAACCAGTTTGTTAGACATAAACCTTGGGTTTATCAATGAAAAAAAGTTGAACTGGAATAATGATGATGATATTTGGCATCACTGTTGAGCTGCAATTTAAATGGTAATACTATGCTATTATCATTATAAATCTTTGATTACCAATTTGAAAGGCAAAGAATGATGGTTCAGGGAAGGGTTTCAATGAATTTTAGCAGATAAAATTGAATTGGCAATATTTGTCTAATGTGAACCCAAAATGGCTGCAGTTTTCAACTCCCAGTGACCTTTTCCAGTCAATCACTTTACATCTAGACACAAATGTAAACACTGTTAGAGTTGGTCATTTGCTGTTTTTGAACTGATCTCAGGTCAGTTTTACGTTAGATTTTTCTTCAGTTTCTTGGTCCAAATTCTTAACAATTTATATTCTCATGTCTCAGCGATAGTCATTTCAATCCAATTGTTTTATCCATTCTTTATAGCAGTTACATATCTAGATTTAATGAAAATGACGTTTAAACAGTGGATGAGATAAACAGAGTCCTTTTTTTGGGTAAGACGTAAGTTTTTAAACACTTGGACAGGGAAGAAAATATTACTTTTATTTTCAATGTAATGTACAATTGATTTGAAATTTTCCTCATGATTTATTTTCATCAAGAAAAGGTCATACTGACAAAGACACAAATTCAATAATCACAATTGATGGTGAACAAAATTGTAATCAAAAATTATCATCATGATGAACCTAATCCACATAAATCAAAGTCAAAAGGTAAAAGTAAAAAACATTACCTAACAAAACCCTAAAGACCTAAAGCTTCAGCTGTTTACCAATTTTTGTGAATCTCTTTAACCCTCTATATCCATCTATTTACCCTTTAACCCTTTTCAATGCAATAACAATTACAAGCCAAATGATAATGATTAATATTTGAAAAAAGAATTGTCATTGCGAGATACATAAAGTTACACTCGTTACCATTATAATGTGATTTGCCAATATTGGTTGCCATTTATCAGGAAAACTGGAAACTCAACAATGTTTCGGAATGCTTGCATCGTCAGCTCTAAAATGACCAGAAAAGAGAAGCTAAAAATATAAATTTATTTCATTTAGAGTGTAAATTCAATACTGAAATAACAAATCAATAATCTATTAAACCTGAAAATTGAATTTTCAAAGCAAATTGAACGAGGATACTTAACAAGGATTAATATGAGCAATAAATTGACTAATTGTGTGAGAAATATCAATACAGTTAATTGTCGACTTAAACATATTCACTTACCATGATTAATGGTTAACTCAATCCATATTTCTTTACCAGTCGAGTTAATTTTTCGGTTCCTTGACAATGATATCTTTCCCTCTGTTTATGATAGGTGAATAAAGATATGATATATTAAAATAATTATTTTTAATGGTTTGAGCCAGTCATTTTGTAACCATTATTGTTTAACAATAAACTAAATTGTTTATTGAAGATTCAAATATAGCCTTTAAAAGCACACACAATCAACTAGATTAATAGTCCCTTAATTTGATTAACTTCAACTGTAAGTGACATTGATTTACAAATATCGTTTACCGTTTATGGATCTATCAACACCGCGAAAAAATCCAAACATTAAAAATCCTGACATCTTTCGGTTTAATGAAAAACGACAGTCTTATTTTTAGATTTGTTTAACAATAATTGTGTTGAGCTTTTTAGATTTCAATTAGTAAATAGTCAATTATAAATTGTGAATTTGTTAAAATTTTGATGAAATTAATGATGAGCAACTATAATTACAAATGTGACCATTAAAAGTATCGACCTCGAGGCAAGAAAGAGTAAAAAATATAAAAAATTTCTTGCTTTTATTTTTATTCTTTCAAAAACAAGTTTCATTATTTTTCACTGTCATAGACATAGTCTGGTGTAAAAAGTAAAATTTAATCATCGATTCAGCCAAAAATGTTACTCTTTCTGTTACGATTTACTGTGTACATTGTTTATAAGTTGCCTTCAATAGGCCCAACAAACAACTGCAATATGCATGTATTTGCAACCCTTTGCCATGCCATTTATCTTGATTGAAGGACATCTTTTTTTTGCCAAAAAATCACTAACATCGTAACTATCTGACTACAAGAATATCTGCTATGGAAATGAAGAAGAAAAAAGTTGAATCTCAAATCTTGATATTGATTTAATTCAATTTATCCATTGAAAAAGGCCAACAGTGTATTGAATTATGGGTTAAAGTTTCATTATAATGCGAGCCATAAGCTAAACCCTATCCATATATTTTCACCACTCTTTATGAATTTATATCATTTGGTTCATTCAATAATTTGATTTACCCGTCAACAAAAAAGGAAATTTTGTGAATGTATTCGGAAAATGAGTGATACAATTTCAGGCTGAACTGAGCTTGAAAGGTGAAAACATTGAAAATTTTTGTTTGCTGGTGACAAACTTGCAAGATGAAAAGGCCTTCCAGCGTCATCAAAAATCACTTAATCATAACAATGTTAAAGCTAAAGCCAGATTTAGTCAATCAAACCTTACCAATTACAAGCACTTTTTTAGCTATAAATCAGTTGATTGATTGACTATCAAAAAAGACTAGACTTTTTGTGTTCACAATGAAATGGCTTCCATTTCAATGTTTGCCTTCTTTTGCTTTGACACATCAAAAGTCTATACAGAAATGAAATACTTTATTATGTTGATTAGTTTTCCAAGACTTTTCTTTATTCCCATTCAATTGTTTAACTCTTCAACTGTTGAAAAAAACTGAGAATCATCAAATTTATTGATGTTAAAGATAAGGATTGAAGCGTTGATATTTCACTTGAAATAAATTCAGCAAAAGCCAAAGTTGAGAAAGTCTAACTTTCAAAGTCATCTTATCTGTAGTCTATCATTATTTGTATATAACATTATTATTGTTATTTTCACAACAATCAATTCAGACAACAGAATACAATCCAGAATATAAAAAATATCAAGAAAAGCTTTTCTTATTCAATCTTAAACTTCATATTCCTCTTGATTCCTCTTCATTCCAGCTTCTTCTGGGTTTTCACTTGATAAAATATTTGCTCATTTCATTGTATTTAAATGAGTTTTTCAACCGAAGCAACTGCTCACAGATTTGAATTAAAATGTCCTTATTGTCTTCAGATTTGGTTCAGCCTTTTGATTTTCCAGTTTACTATCAATAGTTAATTTTAAAAGTCAAATTGTAACATTGCTTTTGTCAATTTATACTTTGTTTTTCATTGTAACTGTTGTTGATTCACTTGTTTATGGATCGATTCCGTCATAAATTTTCAATCCATTTACAATTCAATTTTCATCATTTTACCAATTTCAATCATCTTAAGATTAAAAAAAGCCAAAGTCCAGTTACAGTCCACTATAAAGAGGTTTTATCAAATTTTGAAGCTTCTTCAGCTTCTACATTATAACAGACAAAATAATATCAATTGATTATTACGTGAACATTAACACAATTTATCATTGGTATCAATTGAAATTTGATTTCAAACAGTAGCATAATTGTAAACCAGTCAAGACTAATCATGGATACACTTGTAAGCAATTACGGTTAATTGGAAATATAAAACCAGGTAAGACAGTAAAAACATTAAGATGATTAAATATTGGTTGTTTGCAATAAGTATTCATCAGTCACAGTATGTAAAATGAAACCACCACTTGATCATGATTGAATCAATTTATTAGTTATGTCGCTGAAGCTGATTGATTCCACCTCTGATGAACCCATAACAAAAGTGATCAGCAGTTAAAGATTGAAATACAGTCTTGATCATGTTTAACTAAACAGCAAGAAATGCATTGCACTCGGCAATTAGTAAATCTTTACATTGGTTTATCACTTCGGCATGGTTAGAGTCCAACATTATGGTCTTGATATTGCCATCGATTGACTTGATGATGAAAATTTTGCAACAGAAAAAAAGAGAAGAAAAAAAAGTGTTAGAAATTTTTCAACAATACAATTGAATGAAAATAATAGATGATTTGGTAGAGATGGGAATGATGAAAGGGCCGAGGAAAAAAAATATAATGTTTGTTTCTCGATATCACATAATGATAATAATAATAGTGATAATAATAAGAGAAATGATAACTTGAAACTATCCTTTTCCCAGAGCTTATCCAGTAAATGAATCCGAAAACAGGGAAAAGGAAAGGAAGAAGTAAAAGGATAAACAAAAGAAACTGTAATAATCTTGAGGCACAGAAGAGTTGAGATAAAGTTGTCATTCAACAAATTCATCTATTTAAAGCCTATTGATCTGAAAATAAACTCATCCTTCCATCTAAATACAGGGTTTACCAGAATAGTTATAAATATATTTGAGTTGAGTATTATTGGTCACAATTTGGAAAAATCTGGCCAATTATGAATCAAATAAATCTAGAGAAGAAAATAATTTATTTAGGTTAAATAATCGTTCAACTAAAATCTGGTTAATGCTCCCTCTAATCGTCTGTTGACATCAACCTGATGTTTCTTTTGCCTTGTTAGTCAACCTAAACCTTCCAACTCATTTGGTAGGTATATTGTTATATTTTGATGATTAATTAGTATTTCTTGACTTGTCTTAAAGGAGATTAATTGGTTTTATGTTGAAACAATTTGCAATCAAAGGACAAAATTAGTGACCATCATAAGTGAAACAATGTGTATGATTATTTACTCCTTTAGGTTGTTAAACAGAGCTGTTTAGGCTGGGCCATTATTTGGGTAAGTAAATATTTTGAAAGTCTAATCATATGTTTGACCAATAATTTACTTGTATTTTGTTTAATTGTTTAAATACAGTTTTGGTAATGGTCAGTTTGATTTGGTTTACTTTGCTATATCTTAATGTTTCTATAGCATATTGAAAATATGTTATTGATTGAATAACAAATATCATGATGGATGAAGACATGCTTGATGAGAATGGTGCAAAAGATATGGTGATGATGATGATAAATCTTACCTTGTCAAGGGAAACAGTAATACTTCCTTCGAATGCTGAAATAGCATGTTTACATTTGAAGAAGAGAGCATCTGCTTTCAATCTGGGCTCGATTTTCATCTGAGAAATATATTGATACTTGCTAAACAATACATCCTCCATGAGATCAGAGCTGGATGCCTGTTGAGTAGTCTTGTAAACTCGAGATCGCCATGAATTACCCTGTTTTCGGTCCATACGCCTGAGGAAAGCAAGTAAAGTTTCTTTATCGATATGTACGTTGCCAACCTTTTCAGCAATCTTGGTTGACCATGAGAGCGCTTGTTGTATACCAAAGGGAGTTGAATCAATGAAGACGATACGATTGACTGCATTTGGACCGCGAATCGATTGAATCTTTCGGCCCACCTCAAAAGCAAACGCAGCTCCAAGTGAATAAGAGACGAAATCATAACTTGGTTCAGATGGCCATTGTTCCAAAATCCGTGCACAATAGTAATCAGTAAGAGTTTCCCAGCTTTTAACTATATCTGCATCATCAGTGAAATCAATGCCAAAAACTTGACGTTCAAGACCTCGAGCCAAGGGAAGCATACCAAGGAAATCAAATATTGCAGGCGGGAAGAAGAAGACAGGCCTTGGACCAGTCGTTTTGAGCGGTCTGAAAATTTTGTCTAAATCTTTGAATTCCTCTTCAACTGAACTTATCTCTACAGCAGCAATTTTAACCAAATTTTCAAGAGTCAAGTCATAGATTGATGCAGCCGCAAAGGATAAATTGTAAGTATTTTCAAGGTATTCTCTGACTTCAATTGCTTGCACTGAGTCCATACCAAGATCACGAAGGCGAAGCTTCAAGTTTATTACTCGAATATCTTTAACCCCTAGGATTCGTGAGACACGAAGCAATGCATCTTGTGGGTCACTTTGTTCATTCTCAACCACTGGAATGGCTGAAAAGGCTACAGAGACTGTAGATCCAAGGAAAAAGTTCAACATCTCTAGACATGATCGTATTCTTTGGGGCTCAAAGCCACCTACAGATTTTTTTTCACCTAAAGTACGAACAGCAATACCAACATCATCTACTGGACCCCACTGGATAGCTAATCCTGGTAGTCCATCTTTCCGTCTATTTTCACACAATCTTTCCATAAAACTGTTAGCGTAACCATAATTAGATTGTCCCAAATTACCAAGAGAAGCAATGGATGAAAAAGTGACAAAATAATCGAGATGTTTACAGTTTTCACGACTTAAAATATCCAAATTTCGAGTTATTTCAATCTTGGGCAAACAGACAGTTTTAAAAGCATCGAGAGTTTGATTTTGAAAAAGACCATCACGAAGAACTACTGCTAGATTAAAAATACCACCAATAGGACCCAATCTTGAGGCCTCCCTAATCAATCGAATCGCTGATTTGTAATGAGATGCGTCCAAACGGCTTATTTCAACCCTTGTATTTGGAACAGATTTTATCTTTCTTATCACATATCGTTGGTAATTTGTTTTAATCCCCGATCTTGAGGTAATAACTAATTTCCGAACGTTTCGCTCAACCATCCAAAGTGCCATTTCAAGACCCATTCCTCCCAAACCACCAATAATCATGTAAACCTTTTCTGAATCAAAAATGGTTTGTTTTAAACAAGGGATTGAAAACCCAGGTTTTTCGAGCATTGATTTGTTATCTTGTGTTGAATGGTTAGTGGTCGGATTTGATTCACCGCGCACTTCTACAATTAATTTGCCAATATGTTTGGCAGACATCATGTCACTGAAAGCAGTAGATACTTCTGAATGATTATATGTTTTGTAAGGTAAAGGAATGACCGAACCATCAGCCATTCCATCCATAAATATTCGAGTGAGGCGATCAACTTCATTAGCTTTCTTGGAAAATAAAAATGTTGCCAAACAAATAGAGTGGATTGCTATATTGGGCCGTAATATTGTTTGGTCTGAGAACAGAGGTTCAAAAACATTTTTTTCTGTAAAAAGGTTTGACACAAATTTCTGCTGGTTAAACTAGCTTGCGTTCAATGTTTTAACGAACTTACCTATTTTTTTGTCTGCATAAATATCGACCTTGGATAAATCTAGGAAACGTCCATGATCAGCCAACACTTGTAAACCAGCGTCCAGTTTTTCACGAATCAAAGAGTTGAGGACAACATCAACACCCCGACCATTGGTTTTACGCAAGATATACTCTTCAAAAGAAGTACTCCGAGAATCAGCAAAGCAATCATCAGTCAATTGTGGAAACATCCGCTGAACCATCTTTCGCTTTTTAGCTGAGGAAACAGTTGTAAATATTTTACAGCCAAGAGACAAACAAATGGATATTGCCGCAAGACCAACACCACCAGAACCAGCATGGATGAGTACAGTTTCTCCAGGCTCTAATTTTCCCCTCATAATCAAAGCATAGATAACTGTCCCATAACATATGGGTACAGTTGCTGCTTGAGCCAAAGACCAAGAATCGGGTACTGGGAGAGTAAACAAAAATGGTGAAGATTTTGGATCGATGAAGCTTGCGAAACCGTTACCACCAACAATTCCCATTATTCGTTGACCGGTGGCTGAATAGCCTGAAAACTCCATTCCTAAGCGGAAAAGTAGTTTATGGGGATAAGCGTTGGGTGGCATCAGTTCATTTGCTACCATAACATCACGAAAGTTAATACTTGAATAGGCAACTGTAATTAGCTCATTAGCTAGCGATGGATTATTTTTCAAGTCTGTAATCAAAGTATCATCTTGTAGCCATTGAACACTCCTGGAAATTGATTTCAAGTAAACATACTCTGAAGTAGTGAATCTTTGTTCCTTTTCAGGTGATAAGACGGAAATGCGGTGAAAACCCCAAACTCCATCCAGACAAGTGTTGATCAATAAATCGCGGTCAATCAAAGATTGGGTTAGATCCGTTTCATTAAAAGACTTGCCAGGAGTAAATATACAACGAATTTTATTCAACTCTGGTTCTAATGCGAGACAACTGGCTAATCCAAGTATACCATTTTGATAAGAGTCATCAGCAACCAGCCAAAGGCGACTTATATCATTAATTGAATTGTCAACAGTTTTCTTAATCTCGTCAAACCAAGAGCAATCAGATGAACCGTTTATTTTAATTATACGATGAGGCTTGGTTAAATCTGTAGGCTTACGTCGGTATAAAATACATCTTAAACCTGTTTCTTTACAAAAAGTTGATCCAATTTGAATATAATTTGATTTTTCCATTAATCCACTCAGTTTTGTGGATATTGATGGATCAACTTCAATTTTTAACTGACAAACATCAGCAAGTTGCTCTTCTGTCGAGGTTAGCTTTTCTCGAGTCAAAATTAGACAAAATTTGCCTCTCATTGTAGACACAATTGAAGATTCGCAATAATCTGAATATAGTGAGCCAGCCATTAAATCTAATGATTTATGCTTGTAGACAGTCAGGGTCATTTCAGTTCCAGGTTTAGAATCAGCAGGTTTGTTTAATTTATCAGTTTTTCCATCCACAAAGACACAGTTTTTACCAATCGCACTGAATTGTTGTTGAATATATTTTTTCAACATTTGAGAGCTAAAAGCATAATTTTGAATTGTTATCTTTGCTTCTTTCCGATTGTTGTCTGCAACCAAATCAATTAGAGGATGAACACAATCAGCCGGTATCAAGGTAATCAAATCATCGAAAATATTTTCATTTTGATTATCTTTCAATTCATTGAGAAAGAAATCAACTCTGTTTAGGATATTTAAAGGATTTTTTTGCAGTTTGAGAATATTTTGGTTGTATTCAGCTGGTATTGACTCAGAAAGAGTTTTAATTTCCTCCAAATCAATGTGTGATACATCTTTTTGTAATAATTTTGCATTAAACTCGCAATACCTTGTCCTCAGTTTAACCAACTGTTCATCGACATCAATCAAACTATCAAAGGGAGTAAATGCTTGTTGACCGATTCGTAATCGATCCTTTTGACCTTTGATAGGAAATTCTTTCACCTCCATTCCATCAATGATCAGACCACTTGTACCAATCAAACCAGGTCTAGTAGAATAGACTTTAATAAATTCTTGTTCGGATGTTAAGTGTGATTTAAATAAATCAGCATCGAATCGTAATTCACTGATTTTCGTTGGTACCAATAATTTTCTCTCATTTGACCAGAAAGCTTCCAGTTGAAAGAAACAATCAGCTAACGCCATCCAATTTTTAGTATAACTGAGGACAGCACTGGATCGAACTATTTTTACTGATGAAACATTTTGATAGCTGGATTGATAACGATAACCCAATATAGTCATTTCTTGGTAAAACTCTTCACGATTTAATTCCATGTCTTCACTTTCGATTGTTTTATTATAACGATAATCGTCTCTTTCTTGGGCACTCCAAGAGCTTAAGTCAAGAAGTGAAGCTGATCCAGTGGCAATAATATTTCCTGAAGTTATTATTTCAAAAGCTTTACTGTCTGGATCATAGACTACTGTGAAAACTATTGGATCAGTGATGAAAACTGCTCGGTTGATTGTAACATTCCACACTCTGAATGAAACGTCAAACGGATCCATGAATGCTCCCAAGTAAATTGAAGATAAATGTTTACGAATCAAATGGATGTATCCAGTAGCTGGGAAAACTACTCGATCATCTATAATGTGATCACTGACAGAGAAATATTCTGGATCCAACAAGTCGATTTTATGATCTGTTTTCTTGGGTAAATCAGCATAATGGTTAAATCTATCAATGGTTGGATATTGAACTGTATGTGACCAGCTAATTAAACCTGCTAATGATGGACAATCACGAGACACTGGATAATTGTAGGTTGGATACAGTGAAGACAATCTAATTTGGCAACCAAGAAGATAAACTGTTCCCAAGGCAGAATGAAAGGCTTCTAACCAAAGATTGGGTTCATTAAGATTTGAAGATTGGAATATAATGTTTCCATTTTGAGACAAAATTAGATTTGACCCAAGGTTTAACATCACCGATGATGATGATTGTGGAGGTGAAGAAGATACTTTAACTGTTGACGAACGATCTTCGTGTGATTTGTTGGTCTGTTTTAACTTTCCATTCAATTGCATTTCTTTCATTGTTGAACTGATTATTTCATTTCGGGACAACTTTCCTTCTAGATATTTGATTACTGCCTGCTGATAAGCTAAATTACAATCAAGTAAATTAAATGATAAGTTCAACGATTTAAGCAGATCGATAATTCCAATAAAAGTTAAAATAACCAGCGAATCAGGTGATAAGTCAGAAACATCACTTTTCTTGAGACATTTAATTGAAGCATCAATAGAGTTTTTAAACGGTTTGAAAGCAGTTAACGTTTTTAAATAATTTTTTAGCGAAGCGTCAAGTGAAACAGTCAATGTTGATTCCATTTGGGTCACAATTGCTTTATCCTGAGCAATAATAGCTTGTTGTTTATTAAGTATAACATAACCTCGAGCAACCATTCCGGTCGAGGGTTTAATTGTTGCAAGATCATCCAACAATGACAGACAATCAGATCGAGTTGCTTTCGGTTCATGTTGTAGCCAGTTAATCATCTTGTCGATTCCTTCCATGGTTCGATTACAAAAGCAAACCAATCGATATCCATTATGCGAAACAGAATTGTTTGATTTGTATTCAGGAGCATTGCAGGTTACAATTACATGAGCGTTAGCACCACCATATCCAAATGAGTTGATTCCAATATATTTTCCAGTAAAATTGATGGGTTTGGATACTGGAACCAATCTACCATCAAATAACCCAGCGATCTTTGGGTTTGGATTGGTTAAACCAATATCAGCAGGAATTAGTTTATTTTGAAATATTTTCACCACTTTAGCCACAGCAGTTAACCCTGAAGCTCCTTCAGAATGGCCTATAAATGATTTAACACATCCAACAGTAATTGGTTTATCGCTATTTCCTCGATAAGCTTCTAGTATAGATTCACATTCAGCAACATCACCAGCTTGAGTTGATGTTATGTGGCCTTCAATATAATCAACATCCATAGGGTCAATTGATGCCGCAGACAGGGCCGTTCTCATTAAGATGGCTTGAGTTGCTGCTCCAGGAGCTGTGATACCGGTCACTTTATAGCCATCAGCATTTGTTGAACTACCCAATATGGTTGCATAGGTTCGTTTAGCTTGTGACGACCACTGGAGTACAAGTGAAATTACTGCTTCACATCTGACATAACCGTCAGCATCAACATCAAGACATCGCGATTTACCTGACTTTGAAAGCACATCCAGTTCTCTTCCTTCGATGTTGATACCGAATCTTTGGTGAACAGCTACACCGGCTACAATAGCTCGTTCACATTGTCCTCTTTTCAAAGCCAAGTAAGCTTCGTGGAGAGCGGTTAGAGATGCTGCACAAGCCGTGTCAACTTGAAGAGTTGGACCAATGAAATCAAATGCGTATGGAATCCTGGACGCCAGTAATTGAATAAAGTCAACACGTTTGTCGGGATTAACCACTGTGTCAGCATCATCGGTAAATGATCCAACATAAAATCCAGTTCGTGTTGACCTCCAATCATCTGGTTGAATTCCTACATAAATAGAAGAATTAAAAATAAATGCAGATAGAAAGGGTTAAAGCATGGAAATCAATTTTTGAAATCTATACATTTAGCTATGGAACTATATCATCAGAGTTAAAATAAAATAAAATTGTTTCCTTGAACAAAGATAACCCACAATTTAATTTATCATAAGAGGAAGACTCGCCACTATTTTATATTTATGATGACAGCTTAAAGGTAAAACATCAATGTAAATTATGCTTTTATAAAAAAACATAACGTAAATGATAAAGGATCAATTTACCTAAGAGAAATTATTCAGTCAACTTAAATGCCAACTGATTAATCAGTAAAAGGTTAGACTTTCAATTAAAATTTAACCAATCCTTTCATTTTACGTTAATCGGATAATTGAATTGCATAGGATAAAAGGATAAACCCAGCTAGGCAACACATAATCAGCAAAAATCCGAGATCGACGGCAAAATACTATGCTAAGACTTTTATGCTTACAAGAATTTGAATTGTGTTAAGAAAATTAAGAAGATAATCAAACACGAGCATAAATGATTGTTAATTTAGCTTATTTAAATTACGGTAATAAGTACAAGCAGTAGTAGTTATAATGAAATTGAAAACAAACACTGGACTGACTTTATAGAAACATTAAAGTTGCTTACCTGCGTCCCAAAGACTTTCGTAGACGGTTTCATGGAGGATTCTGAATTGAGCATCAAGATCAGCAGCATCACGATCGGAATATCCGAAGAATTGAGCATCGAAAAGTCTAGCATTTTTTAAAGATCCTTTAGCTAGGCTGGTGACAGGAAAAACTGTTGCATTTAAAAACAAAGCGCAATAAGGATTAGTTTAAAAGATGAAACATTATGGATAAAATAATTACATTTTGAATATGGAAAATCCTCCTTTTCATACATGGGTTTCGATTGCTTTAAATTTTCCCAGAACTCATCTAAATTATCTGATTTAGGCCATCGACCGGAAATTCCAGAGATGACAATTTCTCCTTTACTCATTTTATCATATATTTTGGTTAACTTTACAGTAAAATTATGGGAAAAATAATATACTACAGTATTGAGATGACTTCAGTGTGAAGTTGACCAGAGTCTATTAAACATTGAAAACTGATGGCTAAATTTACTGTATAATGTTAATTCATTTACCTTTTTCCTTGATTATAAATTATAGTCAAAGGTGTCAGATGATTATATCGCTTTGCCTGATTCCAATATTATTGGCATGATTGGTAAGTTATGCAAGACTAGATTTCTTTAACCACCAATTCAATTTTTGAGTGATCAATCTATAATACAATTGGAATTGACATGAAATGATTTGTTTGTGATTTGTTAATGATTTAAAAATTTAGACATCTTAATTCATTGAAATTCATTGAAAGATCAATAGAGATAATTTAATGAGTAAAAAAGAGAAGGAGGATAAAGGTGGGAAGATAGAGACAGAGAAAAAATATATTGATTAAGCTACAATGGAGTTGATACATCAAAAATACAATTTTGAAAAGCATGGAGTTAATTGGTATTTCATATTAATTATCTGTCCATACTGAGCTTTGGACTCTTGATGATTGAAATTGCCCTGGTAAAGTGAGTTGATTTTCGTCTATGGTTTGAAAGATGATGGTTGTTGAAATTATAAAAAATGAAACAAAAGAAATGAAGAGAGTAAAGAAATGAATCCATGTCAGATTTATTTTCTAACAAAGGGCCACATGGTTCAACATCCAAGAATCTATTTACGTATTCAGTTTTTTTCATGGCTTTGCTTTTCAAGTGTTAATTAGTAGAAAGTTAGCTTCAAATCGCATGAAGGAATTATCGGTACTTTTATGTCTTTAATTTTGAACATCAAGTATCCAGTCGATTTATTGAGGTTTCCGAATTTTTGAACGAATCGACTTTTCAATTTCAAACTGCCTCACATCAGCTCGAGAAAGAAAAGCTTGTCTTTCAACATAACCATCTTTACTCAAAGTAGCCTGTTTCAATTCATCCTCGATTCCTTCTTCACGCTTGAAACTGTCCCAGTCCAATTTAGATTTTTGTAATGTTCCGAGTTTCGATTTTTTACCAAGATTGGATACCAAGTCTTTTAAACCACTTCGTCTAACAGGTATGCGAGAGTTAGTAGATTGAGCTGATGAGCTTGATGATGAGCTAAAAAGTAGAAAGAAAAAATTAATTACCGGACAATACATAGAGAAGCAAGCATGACATCACAGATAATACATTTGATGTTGCTCGATCACGAACACAAGTATTTGGTAATATAGAATCTAATGAGCAGTGATAAGACAATTTGGCTATGATTTACCTTATGATAGTTTTATCTTTAGGTGTCTCCTTAATAACGACAGTTTCACCAGCGAAATCATAGACCTTTTCTTCCGATTTTATTTCACTACTTGTCTTTGAATCTACTTTGGGTTTCGATTCTGTTTTATTTGAACTAGTCTGATTTAACTCAGCCCACAAGTCGTCAGCTTTTTTCTTCTTCTCCTCAATGGTCAGCTCTTTTTTGCCATCTTCAGAAACATTCTCGGCATTATCATTGGATGCCGATACTTTCCTCTTTCTTCCACGCTTTTTGGTCTTCTTTACTTTGTTCAGATCATCACCATCGCCCTCATCAGAACCACTATCGCTAGAGCCCTCGGCGTCATCGTCCTTATCAACATCATCTTGAAGGAAGAAAGAGGAAAAAGCAGAACAAGAATTAGCGATTGGTAAAATTTTTCGGCTAATATAATCACTCAACAAACCATCATTTTCTAGATCTTCTTTGCTGGGAACATAGTCTTCATCATCCTCATCATCGTCGTCTTCCTCTTCTTCGGTTGGATTCAAATTTTTGAGGGTGTCCATCTCAAGACAGCTGATCAGGAGACTATTGAAGCCAATAGGTAACAAAACACAATTATAAAAAAGTCGATACACTAAAATACAATTAGAATAATTAAATAATTATGGTCAAGTAAAACAGCAAGTAAAGTAAGAAGTACAACAAAAACAAGGTTGAAACTCAAGTAGACTTCTTGTTAAGGGATTGATATATAAATCACAAATCATCCGGCAAGATATAAAATTAATTAAAAATGGACTATTTTAAACCTAGATATGATGAAAATCATATAAAAGGTGTTTAAGGATCTAAATATAATTGTAATTGCAACAGGCAAATGTCTGAAAGCACTAATATTTACATTATTAATATTTGCAGCTCTGTAAACAATATTCCCCATATATTTTGTATGGTACATTTGGAAGCAACTCACCTCTCGGCCTTTAACGATCCCTCAATGGTCCCTCTGTTTACTTAGCTTTATGAAATGGGTTTTTTAATTAGTTTGATGATTACGATCAAAATTAGTCAGCTTAAACAATGATAAGGTAATTTAAGAAGACATGAATTCAATTTTCTCTGCTTGAGAGTTGATAGATATGAAATCACCGGTAAACTTGATGATTTTGAAGCAAACCAGGCTTTTGCATATTGATTAGAGCTTTATTGCAATTTTGTGAAGATCTACCACTTTATCAATTTCTATATATGCAAATAAAAGCTAAATTAAATAAAAAATATCATAATTATGCTATTAAAAGGATAACCAGAAACCCATTCAAAGAGTCTGCCTGAATGGGTAAAAAGAAACTGGTAGTGAGGATAACCGATACATCTATTGGGTAAATTTCCAACCTCTTATACTGTGTTTAGTTTTTTTTGTAAAATATAATAAGTATTAAAAGCATGATTGTGTGTATAATTAGTTAATTTTTACGTCTGTTAATTGCAAAAATTCAAGGTTACCAGCAACTATAAAGTACCGATTGATTCACTGGTAGGATTTTCAGTTCATGTAACCATTTTGTTTGGCTTTTTCTATCGCTTTTCTTTCAGCTGTTTTGTCACTCATGGCATCCTAGTGTTATCTTTTTATGCATCCATTTTATTAATCCTTTACTAATCTGTTTCTTTCATGTTTTCAGTAATGTCTTGAATTTGGATTTGTCAAAAGGTTGATCAAACAATCGTCAGTTTTATACTCTATTTGGAAAGAGAAACAAAGAAGACCCAGTGACCATTTCCAGTGAAAAAGGTAACACTCATCATCAGCCAAGTGATTTAGCAGATAAAAGAATACTTAACAAACCTTGAAGAAGTAAAAAAGAAAGCTTTATCATCGTTACTATTGGCAAAGGATCCCGTTTCTATTGGTGATGGATTGTAAATTGGTTAATTGTAATCAACAAAGGCCGATAATACGTGGTTCCCTTGCCCGAAGTTTGTATGAGAGGATGCTCCGTGAGGAACAGTTGAGAAATTTTGACAGTTCCAAATGGTACAAATGTGATTTAACCAAAGTCGATGAATCTATTGCTTCCAAGTTTGTCGAATTATCGTATGACACGGAAACAGATAATTTTATCAAAACGTGCTACCAGAAATCCGATTGGTTATTTACTCACATCTTCAATGCTTTGGCTCAGGCATTTTTGGGTCTCTTCATGACTGCCACCTCAATAAATGGATTATTGAAGCGAGGATCAATGTTTGTTTTCTCTAACCAACAATTCAGTCTCATCTACGATGAAATTAATTCAGTTGAATCTGACTCAGAATCTCTTCTATTGGATATTGGATCTGGAGATGGAAGAGTAACTTCAGTGATGGCCAAATATTTTCATAAAACATATTGTACCGAGGTTAGTCCAGTGATGAAAAGACTGCTGGCCAAGAGAGGATATGAAGTTTTAGATGTTGATAAATGGTTTGAAAATGATCTGTCTTTCAACCTTATCAGTTGTTTAAATGTGCTAGATCGATGTGATCGTCCATTAAGCATGATAAAAAAGATGAGGCAAAAAATTAAACCCAATGGACGAATATTGCTCGCTTTGGTTCTTCCTCTTAACCAGTATGTTGAATCATCAAGCAATGGACACAAACCCAGTGAAGTAATAAATTTGACTGGAAATTCATTGGAACAACATGCTCAATCATTTATCCAAGATTATATCGAACCAAATGATTTAGAATTGGTTGCCTGGACTAAAGTACCATACTTATGTGAAGGTGATCTCGAGTTGTCCTATTATTGGCTAAACGATGTCCTTTTTCTCCTTAAACCAAAACAAAGTTGATTCCAATTGTTACCTAATTGTGACTAAATCATCATAGACATTATTACATTATGAACGTCCTGTTAACTCGTAACGGATCAAAAACACCAATTTTTCACCGCATAACCTTTCAATGTCAATTTTTATTGAATTTTAACCAGTTCTTTAGTCAAGAACATTAATGTGCGAACAGCTTCATTCAAATTACACTTGACTTCGAAAAAATATCCTGTTTCTTTATACGAAATTTGAAAAGGATTCAACTTAAGAGAGAATATGCGTTTTCTCAAATGACAAAAATTATATCTGTTGATTGTTTAAGAAGTGATAATATTGATAAATCTGTTGAAGGTTTCATTTTGAAATTAATCTATCATTGCCAATTCAATTAGCCAAGCCTGTTAAAATGATCAAACAACTTCATCAAGTATTTAAATTCATCCATTTTTTCCATTGAGCCTATTGTATTTTAAATGAAGCTGTTTTTCTCTGATTTATTTCAATTTTTGATGCTTTAATGGACAAAGACGCCCCATAAAAGACAGAATCGCAAAGTTATGTGTTAAATGTGCTTTTTGACTGTTTCTTAATTTAAACATCTACTCCCATCTTTATTTTGCCTATTGCGCCTTAATCACCCTTCGATTTGCATATTGTGTCCATCAAATTTATTCCTCCTATTCCATCAAATGTAATCACCTTTTCTTTTGGTATTTTTTGTTAATTATTCGAGTTAAATCGTCATGGCCCACCTTTCAATTCTTTCCATAAAGCTTTTGTTTTAAAATAAACAAATTGTAAAACCAAACTTGATGTTTTCCTTTGCTTTCACGTGAAATTACCAACAATTTGATTTTGTCAATCGTTCCAATGCCATTTTACTTGACTATACAAAATGACTTTACATGAAATTATTTGATCAACTAATTGTCATAGAAACTTAAAATGCACATCTATACAAATAAAGGTTATTTTACCAATTTTGAGACGCTTAGACTCAGACAGTAAACACTAAAATTTCAATTTGATTTTGATTCTATTTTTTCATGTAAACTAGAGCAATTAATACAATGGATTCAAATATTGTGTCTGACCCATCGAAACAACCTTTCATCAAAATACGAGTAATTGTTTGTGTGGCCGCTTTCTTTATAAATCTCATATTCTGTTCTTGCAAAATGACCATAGTCGTATCATCGGTCTCTATAGTACATTCACATACTCGATCAGAGTCATTGAAAAATGAAGTCACCAATGCTGGGCTGCAGGACAAACTTAACAGTCGCAAAATCGATACAGAGTCTAATTTTAAATGGACTCAAAGTACCGTTGATAGGTTGATTTCAATAATGTTTTGTGGAGGTTTGTTTAGTCCTATCCCGGCTGGTCGATTGGCAGATAGATTGGGACCAAAGCGAATTGTATTGGCAAGTTGTCTCACGGCTGGAGTCTCAATGTTATTATTTCCTTCGGCTGTTAGATGGAATGTCTATGCTGTCTGTGCTCTAGGTTTTGTCATCGGATTCTTCTTAGGTCCTGGACTATCCAGTTACAGTGGTTTAGTATCTCGTTGGTCACCCAAATATGAAAAAACTTTATTCATCACAACCATATCTTCGGGTGCAATGATAGCCATGATATTAACAGGTCCATTCGTTGGATACTTATGTAGTCTCAACTATCTTGGTGGCTGGCCTTTGCCCTTTTACATTTTAGGTTCCGGCAACATTTTTATGGGACTTTTGTGGTTTATGATTGTCACTGATGAACCAGAAAACCACCCGTTAATAAGCCAATCAGAGAAAGAATATATACTCAAAGAACGGTCAACGATAAACGATAAAAGTAATTCAGTGAGTAACAGATGAAAGCTTTGCATAATGTACACAGATTTTTGTGTTGTAAAAAAAATCTCTTTTTTATTTCTTTATCAGAATAATCCTATTCCATGGGCACAAATGTTCCTTTCAGGTCCTATTTGGGCTTTGATTTTTGTTCATTTCTCTCATGGTTGGTTTAGTGCTATCATTGCCACCCAAGTCCCAGAATTTTTCAAATCTTTGTTGAAGATATCAATGTCACAGGTAGAGAAAACTTGAAGTGAAATAAATCCATCTTTATTAATGTCGAGTTACTCTTTTCTTTAAGGATGGTGTATTTGCAGCTTTACCTTACGTTGGATCATCAATTTCATTAACTATGTTTAGTTATTGTTCAGATAAATTACGTGAGAAAGGTATATTTTCAACTACAGCAATCAGGAAAATATGTGCCGATTTTGGTGAGTTTTTCATTGATTAAATGACTTTCAACTCTTTATACGACTACAAAATTTTCTAATTACACTTTTTATCTTTAATTTAAGGCTTCATTTTTGGACCATTGTTTCTCGTAGTGTCAACCCTTGTTGGTCACAAAACGAAAGCAGTGATCACTTGTATTGTACTCGCCAAAACATTAGCGGCTGCACAGATTGCTGGTAGTTATGGTGTTCACCTAGACTTATCACCAACCTATTCTGGTTTACTGGGTGGCTTAATTGATAGCATGCACAATTTTGGCGGTATGATAATGAATCAAACAGCTTATTACTTAGTTGGCGATCACCCTGATCTCCACCATTGGTCAAACCTTTTTCTGGTAACCACAGCTATTTGCATCATTGGAACCCATTATTTTGCTCTATTGGGTTCATCCAAGCTTCAACCGTGGGATCCAACATTTGAATCAGAAGAGAAGGCTTTTGATGATGACCAAAATGGACAATTAGCTGCTACAACAATTTACGATCCAGAAGTGTATATCCTTGACTCAGCATCAGGTTCAATGATTAATAGGAAATATTCAAGACCTTCACTGTCTCAGTAATGACAATATTAATATTTATCAAAGTTGTCCTCCACCAAAAAAGGATAATTCAATGAAAGGAGGTAAAAAAACAACCAATAATGTCAACATCAATTAAGTCGATGCAATCTGTGATTCTAATGTACAAATAGCTCGTCCGATATTACAATTATATTGATTTCGGTTAAATTGACAATCTTGTTAAACTGTTGAGTCTTCTGAATCTATTAAAATGTATCGATTGAATTAAATCTTTTCACTTTTTTCTCATTCCACATTCTGTTCCAAATAAATCTCAAATTTTCAGAAAATTGACTCGCTCTGAAAAATGCCTTCTCCTGTTAGTCATTGTAACATTATTCATATGTTTTACATTAGCCATTGTGATTATCACATCTTACTGTCAAGGTAAGTGTATTGCTAACTGTACGGTCGGCAATACTAATATTAATACTTAATGGAAAGTATAAGTGTTGCCATCTACAGAAATGAATCTCATTGAATGTACGATTTTGCTTTTATCCATTTCAAAGTTAATTGTTTCAATTTTAAAATGTACGAAACATGCAATTAGGTGTAATTTAATTTTCTAGTTCATATTTTTTGTCTCAATTTAAGCGAATTCGCTGGTAAAGATTATGCCAAAATTTTGAAACCTTTAGTGAATCTAGCCAGAAAGGAAGTTTCCCTGGTGTTTTTCCTGATCATTATGACGTTAATGTTGACTTCTATTTAGTATGCTGTTGGTATTTTTCATCGTGAATTAATTCCAGGATTAATCAATTCAAATAGGCATTACTTCAATTCACGGAACAGATGAACTGTGTAAAAGTAATTCAATTTGAAAGTGTATTACAGTTAAATGGATCTTGATTATACAGTTGAGAAAGAATACAATTACGAGTTAAAGCTTAAGAGGATGTTAACCTTCAATTGATTTCCATCGGATCCACTGTTCAGTGCTATTATATTCCTGAAACCAACTCAGTAAATGACTAACCATGGATAGCTTAGTAAGTGAATAAAAAAGTTTGATAAATCATTGAAAAACCATGTCAGCCAACGTCAATAGCTTGAAGAAAAATCTAGTTTGTCTTCAACATGCATTGAAAATTTTTACATTCTCAATGGATTCTGTTAAATGTTTCTTTCACAGACCGAACATTTGTTATAAAAATTATTATTTTACTCAATTTCTCAAGTATATTTTTAATCAATTGTCTTATAAAATTGTTAAACATTTTGGTTTTCAACAAAATGCTATACAACTGTACATCGATATTAATGTTATACCAAATGGATGTAAAAATTTTATAGGAGTTGTCAACTTCAAGACGTATATTTACAACATAGCAAAAGGATAATTTGCAAACTGCTTGCTTTAAAGCTTAAACTTACAAATATAACTTTCAGTTAATTGAAAAAAACAATGATAAAAACCAGTATTAGAGAAGATTATTCACAATTTTCTTCTGAAAATTTCCACTTCAATATCATCTGTTATTGAAATAAGGCGATTGTAGTTGCATTTGTTCAACTCTTTTCCTAACATGGGTTGATCTTGATGGTCAAATTATCAGAAGACTTTCAGAAGTGCAAACCACAATAGATGACTTCTTGCTGATTGATGGTTGATGGATGTAATACAAGAGCTTGCTAACTTTGCTGTCTCAACCGGTTAAATTACATTAGATATTTGAATCTTTTTTACTTCTTCCCTTTTCAATTGTACTAGGTATATCCAAGGAATCTAAATGGATGGTTGATATGGTTTGCTTTTCTGGTTTCGCTTTTTTATTAAAAAGTGCTTGGATTTCCTCTATTGATTTACCCTTGGTTTCTGGAAGGACGAACGAGGTAAACAGCATTCCAATGAAAGAGATTATGGTGAAAAATGCAAACGATCCAGCAGGAGTTAATAAATGTTCCATTTTTTCAAACTCTTTGGTTACCAGAAAGCAAGTTGCCCAATTGATGAAGGTTCCTGCGGCCGTGATGAAACCACGAGCAAAGTAAGGCGACATTTCTGGTGCAATGGCCCAAGGAATGGGTCCATAGCCAATGGCAAAACAGGATAAATACGCTATTGTTGAAAGTAAAGCAATCCAGCCATAATTTTGTCCAAAGTTTGAATTCTTGTCGCTTAGGTAAAAGAAGACTGACAAACTGAATAATGAAAGTGTATTACCAACACCTGTTGAAGACGAGATTGGATTAGATGAAAAGTTTAAGCAGTGATTGATGTTAATGAAGATATTTTCATTGAATTTTATCAAACATCTGAATCAATATTTACCTGATACAAATAATAAAACTTTACGTCCAAACTTATCGGAAATGGAAGCACTTCCTACGGTCACAACAACAACCACTGTATTCAAGATAATGGCACAATAGTTTGAATCCAATTTGATTCCCGAAAGATCAAAAATGTCCAGTTCATTGAAAACGACCGCATTAACTCCGGAGGCTTGTTGGAAGAAGAGCATTCCACATACATAGAAAAGTGGATAATAAACGTTTGGTGTTTTAATTTGTTCCCAGCTGAGAATCATTGGTTGCCTTTCACTGGGAGTTTTGGATATTTCCTCAAATTCAGCGTCAATTTGGCTTGATTCACTTCTCAACCTTTTCAAAGCATTTAAAGTTTCCTTTGTTGCTCCTTTCTTATTGAAAAGGTGAATAGGTGATTCGGGACAAAAATACAATGCTATGGGCATTATTATTGACGAAATTGAAGATAAAAATGCAAGCATTTGCCATTCAACTTGCATTCCAAAAATTGACGAAAGAAGTATACCAATAACAACAAAAACCTATTCGAACAAGTTCAGAATAATATTCAAATATTAGACACGTTTCTCGAGAGAAAAACATTTTTAATGAAGCTCACCTGAAAACCACTTCCAAAAGTACCTCGTAAAGATAATGGTACAACTTCAAGAACATAAGTTGGTGTGGCACAACAAAATATCCCTGATACGAGTCCAGTAATTAACCTTCCAGTTATAATCATTGGCGTATTTTTTGCCGCTGCAATCAATATCCATCCCAAAAACATTGGTAAACATGATAAAATTAGACACATCCGTCGACCAGTGATACTAGAAAGTGGACCTGTAATGGTGAGTAATTATGCATGAGAATTGATTGAAAATGGAAACAGTTTTTCATTTAAATATTGTTTCTATTATATTATATTATTTATTGGTTTTGTGCATCTATTTATCATTACCTCCAGCTAAACCTCCCACAATGGCACCAATGGTTGGTATACTTCGGATCCAAGTTTCCACCTCGGAATCCAATTTACGGTCATAATGAGGATGGCTATTGCGCTTTTCCATACTATTAACTGCTGGTGAAGCATATCCAATCACCATTCCTACTGAGAAACCACCGAGAAGAGCACCGATACAAGCGATGAACATCAATAAGGAGGGTTCAGATTTGATACGAACAGCCGCTGTAATGTAATCATTATAAGCAAAAAATTAGATGGTTATTGATCCATATGATTAATTTTGGATGAAAATATGCTTTATCAATTGTTTAGCATTGCGAGAAGTGTATGAAAATGATGATTTAATGCGTTTGTTATATAACATTATCCGTCATTGGGAAATTACAATTATTAATAACATTGTAACAAGGCTATTTATTGAGACAAATTTAAAGAAGAGGAAAGAGAGAAAAGATGAAAATGATAAACAAAAAACATTAGTAAACAAAAAATTTGTCGTAATAGCAAATTAATTATCAATTATTGTTGATGAAACTGCAAAATCTTACTAGATCTGATTATAATGATCAGGAAAATTTCCACAAATAATCTGATGCTTTTGTGTTATGCGTTTTTTGTTTCCCTTGTTTATACGATGTAAAAGTACAACCACCTATGTATAACATATGTATATTAAACTTTGATTCGACAATCAGGACGATCATAAATTACAAAGCTGAAATATATGAATTCATCAACAGTTTTGGAGATACTCTTCCACGCCTTGGAACGTAATGTTAGAAGTGTTTGAATTAAGAAAGTATTTCTCTATCAATTGGAGCAGAACGATAAGTTATAAATTTTCTTGAATCTTGTTTTCAATAACTGAATTGCTATATTTCCTCAACATCGACTATCAAAAGGTTGATTTTGATTAAAGGACGAGTAATATTAATTTTAAATTGAGCTACAGCTGTTGACATCTGCATAATCAAGCTGGCAAATATTCAATCAGTCTCATCAGTTAACAGAGTTGATATCATTTATGAATCATATTAAATTTCAGTCAATATGAAATTCGTAAGAAAATAATCATTTCTCATCAATTTCAAGTCTATTGAACATAACAAATAAAATTTCAGTTACATTGTACAATAATAGTTGCTGAGAAAAAAAGATTCACTAAATCGTACCAAAATGTGTCCATGCAGATTAGTTGATCATGATTAATATAAAATGCTCTTGTAAATAAAACCAGAAAAGGATAAACACTTTTAGGTAAATAAGGTTAATTATGATATAAAAGGATGAGTATCTGTCATCTACTAACTGCAATAAGATAAACAGAATCATCCATTAATGAATTAATCAACTTAAAACCAATTAGCAGCAATTTTTAAACGATTATCCATTTTTATGATCACTACCGAAATCGCAATCAAGTTGTATTATGATTGCATATAAAGATGAAATGTAACCCAATTCAATAGTTGATCAATTTTCAAAGTTGGTTCAATTATGAAATATTCATTCCACAATTGATTCAGTACAAGATATCAAATACAAATCAGTTAATTGATTGACTTGGTTGACAATAGTACAGCTTCATCTGATTACAACGAGTTGGCTAATAATCAACTTTGCGATGATTATCAATCGATATAAATCTTTATGCCTTAAACTTTAATCTAGATTAAAACTTCAGCTCGAAGCCATGTTATTTTTAGTAAAATTGAGCGCAAAATAGCAAATTAAATAACATCTGAATAACAGGTTGAGATACAATTTCAATTGAGTACTTTCTGATCAATATCATATGATATTAAAGGGTGTTACTGATTTACAATCATCTTATTTCGTTGTGATTAAATAGCTGGAAATGTCAAATGGAAATCTTTACTACTGGTTGGACATTTTCATCTGTAACAATTTTTTAATTATTATTGAGATTAGATTGTCAGTTCTAGCACGCACCCTTTACAATGATCAAGCCAAGGTTTGTGGTGATAGTCTGGTAAATATGTTTACATCAAATGATGATAAACTCGAGATTTTTAATTGAAACACTATCAATAGGAATTCCTATCCAATTTAATTAGTAAACCTTGATGACATAACCAGTAAGTCAATGTAGCATTTGAAAGATGATACAAACTTATTCAACAGCTTATCAGCAACAAACCCTTTTCAATATCTAAATGTTGTGCACAAGTGCATCTGTAAAGTTATTGATTTCACTCAAATTGTAACTCGTATTTGATTAGGTTGACTTATTTTATCTAAGTTTAGATTCAGCGTCAGAATCATCATCTCATCTGCAATTTAATCAACAATCATCAATTGACCCTGAAATTGTATCTAACAAGGTCTAACAGTCTTACGATTTTTGATAAGCTCACATTGAGCCACTTGATACAATCTCTTAATGTCTTCAAGAGTGATTAAATTGCCATTTAAAACAATTCCAGGGCAAACCCATTTAATAATTGAAATTAGTAGCAAGGCAATTGATTAAAAATTAGGATAATTGTTGAATCTTTACTCCTTTAGACTGATAAGATGAGCTCATCTGAATTGGTGTCATTTCTCAAAAATTATGCGATTTTTCCTGATTTCCATTAATTTTAATTTTCCCTTAATTATAAGCATTATCAACTGATTAAAATTTCAAGTCGAAGTAAACAAAATTGAAAAACTGGTTTTACTGCCAATATTGGGACTTTTTTATGCTTGAGATTGAAGTAAATTGTCATTGAACTGTTATTTAACAATGGAAAAATTGTATCACCTTGATCGGCAAATCAATCAAACCTCTTATTGTTGATCAGTTTCTCTCTAATTGTTTACTTTGAATCAATATTTTCTTCCGGGATTTTTTAATGGAAACTCTCAAGGTAAAAGATAATCATGATCGTTCTAATTGTTGACAATAGTTGAAAGGTATAACATTTTAAAGGTTCGCTCTCATTTTCACTTGGATGTTATTATCAAAATTGTATGAAAAAAATTAAATTTTAAAAACAGAATCAATGTTGTTTATTAGCCATCATGTGAGTAAATATTCAATAAAGTGAATCAGTTGATTGAATATTTAACTTTATGAATTGAACATCAACATTTAATAATAATTCAATAATTTTTATATTGTTAAAAAAGGTTAATGAAAAGTAAATAAGGGGAAAATTGAAGTAAATCAAGGTTAATTTATAAAAGGGAAGATTAATTATGGTGAAAAAAAGTCGTCAACTTACGATTGATCTTGGACATTTTCCGAAATTCATCATTTTTCATGGTTTTCCTGAAATCATGAATCAATTGGTGGGTTAATTTGATGATAATCTAGTGTTGATTTCTGGGTGAATGATGTATACTCAACTCATTATTTAACGATGCATTGGTTGGACCATCTCTGGAAGCCATGTTGAATGGAAGACTTGATAAGGTTGAAAGAAATGTAAAAACGAAATGGATTGATCCTTGAAAATTTAAAAATAAGTGTCACTAAATAAAGTTAATTGTAAAAATTATACTGTCATGGAAGCATAAATCAGTAATAATCACAAAGGTATACACCTAAGAAATGGAAGGTTGACAAATGTTTCATTTGAATTTCATCAAAGTTTTGATCAGGTTTGAGCTTTTAGATGAAAGAAACAGAGGGAAATCAGAGAGTGAGAGATGTTAATGATGATGATGATGATGATGGGTGGGAGTTAGTGAATTTTGAATTGGGTAAGTGAGCTGAGATGATGATATAATGTTGCAGTTGATTGTTGGCTTGTTGAAGAGCGCTGCAAACCAAGACTTGAATCAATCTCCCAGGTCAATATCTCTGATTTTAATCCATTTTTTCCACTTAATCAGCATTGACACTTTAACTTATCGATGGGATTAATAAAATATCTACTCAGTTTCATGCGAGTAAAACATGTAAGCAAATAATCTCTATCATCGCTAGACATAAAGAAGTCTTGCAACTTAAAGTCAAAAAAGAAATGGAAAGTTGCCATTAAAATTAAAAAATTTAAATTTAATTTTCAAGGCAAACATTAAATCATAATGAAAGACACAATAATCAAACATTATAAATAGATCAACATTAATAACAGACTAGACTTAGACACTAAACACTCTAAAATTTCAATTTGATTTTTATCTATTTTTCATGTAAACGAGATCGATTAATACAATGGATTCAAATATTGTGTTTGACCCACCAAAACAACCTTTCATCAAAATACGAGCAATTGTTTGTGATGCCGCCTTTTTTAAATATTTCACGTTGATTGCTTCTAGAATGACCTTCGTAGTG